CTTGCTCAATTGGAACACCTCCTCCAGCAGTTCTGCGCCTCAAATGCAGAGACCAAGTTGGACGATCTCACCTTTATCAGTGCCAAGGATGAGGAGAGCATCCGCCAATGGAACCAAGACATTCCGGCCCCGGTCCACAAGACCATTCATCAGTTGATCGAAGAGCGTATCGCCGAGCAACCTAGCAAAGAAGCTGTCTGCTCATGGGATGGTTCCTTCTCCTATGCCGACTTGGACAAGCACTCTGCCCGCTTGGCACACCGCCTTGCTAAGCTCAACGTCCAGCCAGAAGACTTTGTACCTTGTTGTTTCGAGAAGAGCCGGTGGCCCGTCGCTGCTATGCTGGGTGTCATGCGTGCTGGTGGTGCCTTCTTGAACATCGATCCGTCACAGCCTAAGAGTCGTATCCAGCTCATAATCACCAAATTGAAGGCCAAGACTATTGTATGCTCGCCCGAACAACACGAGTTGTGTCTATCTCTGGGACCCGAATACAATGTCGTAGTTTTGTCTGCAGACACACCGGAAGAGCCTGCAACCAGTGGTCTCCCTGCGACGAGTGTCACCACTCAGAATTCAGCCTACGTTATTTTCACATCTGGAAGTACGGGAGAGCCTAAGGGTACGGTGATCGAACACGGTGCATACGCCTCCGCATCCACAACTCATGCATCGACGATGCTGATGGATAATTCGACCCGCGCGTTGCAATTTGCTTCGTTCACTTTCGACGCTAGCTTGGTCGAGATTCTCACAACGCTAGTTGTCGGCGGTTGCGTGTGCGTGGCGTCTGAAGAGCAGCGCAAGCGCGATGTGACGGAGGCAATCCGGGAGACCAACTGCAACTGGGCCGCTTTGACCCCCTCTTTTGTGAACCTCATCAACCCTGATGATGTTCCGTCTTTGGAGACACTGATTCTGGCTGGTGAAGCTATGTCTCAATCGCACATCGAGACCTGGGCCCATCGACTTCGATTGGTGAACGCTTATGGTCCCAGTGAATGCTGTGTGTGCAGCACGAGTAACTTCGAGATCACCAGCCAGTCAAGCCCAAGGAACATTGGGCGGGCATGCTCAGGTGCCACCTGGGTCGTTATGCCCAACAATCACCATAGACTGGTGCCGGTCGGAAGCGTTGGAGAGCTCGTTATGGAAGGATGGAACGTGGGTCGTGGATATCTCGCAGAGCCAGCCAAGACACAGGCTGCTTTCGTTGAGAACCCAAGGTGGCTCAACAAGCAGGATGCTTCACGGCCTCCTGTGGTGTACAAGACTGGTGATCTTGTGCGCTACAACGCCGACGGTACATTGAGCTTCCAGCGGCGCAAGGACACTCAGGTGAAGCTGCGTGGTCAGCGTATCGAACTGGGAGAAATCGAGTATCGCATCAAGCAGAGCCTTCCGAATAAACCGGACGCCGTCGTTGACATCCTTTCCCCCAAGGACGCTTCCAGCCAGCCTCGCTTGGTAGCATTCCTCCCCGTTCCCATTGAAGAAGCTTCCTCTGCTACCATCATTATCCCCCCACCAAGCGCCCGCCATATGACAGCGGTGTCCGGGCTAGAGGACCGGCTGGCCGACTTCCTGCCAATGCACATGATTCCCAGTGCCTACCTTCCAGTGAACTACATTCCCAAGCTACCATCTGGCAAGGCAGACCGCAAGACACTGATCCGGTGCGGTAGCGAGATGACCCAAAGACAAATGGCAGAATATACCGGGTCAACCGAGGAGACGCGACCCCCAACTACCGAAATGCAGCTTGCCTTACAGCAACTCTGGGCCGGGGTTCTCAAGACATCGGCCGCGCAGATCAGTCTCAATGACAATTTCCTCCGGCTGGGAGGTGATTCGATCACGGCCATGCGACTAGCGTCCGCGGCTCGTGCCCAAGGCATCCCTCTCTCGACTGCCACCGTCTTTCAGCACCCGACTCTGGAGGCGATGAGTACCATAGTGGAAACGCTGTCGCATCAACAGCGACCTCAGACATTTGAACCTTTCTCAACGCTCAAATCCCTCACCAAGGACCAGTTGTTGGACGAGATTGTGCTGCCGCAAGTAGACTTTCCTGCCTTCAACATTGAAGACGTGCTTGAGGTCACCGACTTTCAGTCGCTTGCCATTGGTGGTGGGCTCAACAAGACTCGCGGCTGGAGCAATTACCTTGTGTTCGATTTTACCGGGCCGATTGACCTGCGACGCTTGCAGACGGCCTGCGAGGAGCTTCTGAAGCACCACGCAATCCTTCGCACGGTGTTTGTGAAGACCGGCTCGCAACTATTGCAAGTCGTGCTGCGGTCAGTGACTCCCGAATGCACGTTCCATATCCAGGATGATCAAGATCCATCCGAAATACTGGTCCGTGAAGATCTTGCTCGCCCGCCACGTTTAGGCGAGCCCATTGTCCGATTTATGGTGATCAAGAACGGAGCAATTCGACACCGTCTCATCATGCGCATCTCTCACGGGCAATACGACGGCTCCTCCATGCCACTCCTGATGCAAGACCTCCGCAACGCCTACAGAGGCGAGTCTCTTGTGAAGCGACCCCAGTTTGCCGATTTCGTGCGCATGCAGTTACTCGCCAATGAGGGCGCCGAGGCCTTCTACCGACAGATGTTGGCTGGATCCGCGATGACCGCGGTGGTCGAACACACCAAGCCATCCGTCACCAACGTGCTCAACACAATGATTATGGACATGGTCCCCTTGGTCGCATACAAGGACCACGGGATCACCGCCGCTACGGTGATCAAAGCAGCATGGGCGATGGTGCTGGGAGAGTTGGCAGCCACAGCGGACGTGGTCTATGGCCACATGGTGTCGGGTCGCAACCTCGCCCTGGACAACGTCGAGTCCGTCATGGGACCGTGTCTGAACATCGTGCCCGTTCGAGCGGACATGAAGGCCGCGCGCACGGTCCTCGAGCTGCTGCGGATGATCCAGCAACAGCAGACCGACACAATTCCGCACGAGAGCCTCGGGTTCCAGCACATTATCGACCAATGTACCGATTGGCCTGCCGCGACGCGATTCAGTTCGGTCTTCCAGTACCAAGAGTTTGGAGCGGAAGAGGATCCCACGCAGCCGGTCTCGATGGAAGGGACCTTGAAATGTGCCCCGGGATTCATCTGCCCTGCCCCTGATGCGTGTGATCTGTCAATTCTAGCCACCCCGGTGGGCTCACAGGTGCGGATCGAGATGATCTTTTCGACTCACGCCATGTCGCAGTCGTTCGCGGAGGAGACGTTGAAGAAGCTGTGCGCCAAGGTGGAGGCGATCGGGCGCCAAGATGTCAACACGCCGCTGCCGTCGCAGGAGCAGCTCGCGTCGCGACAAGCTGTCATCCCGTTGCCTGAGCCGGGAAAGAATATGGCAGATGGGCTCGTCAATGGGATTGTGAAGCAGATGGTAAATGGAATCAATGCGATGGGTGAGATGAGCGGATTGAATGGGAAGGTGGAAGGGGAAAGTGAGGCAGAAGAGAGAGAAGGAGGAAGAGCGGCAGATCACGAGATCAGCCTCTTGGCCTCGGTGCCTATAAATTAAGGCATCCAGAACCAACCGCGTCTTTCTACATCCGTACTCCGTATAATATCAAATAACTGTTTTTGCTTTCTAGAACTGTGACCCTCCACATAATCTTCTATATACCAGGCACTGACCCGAGAACTGCTTACTCAGAGATCTCATAGACCCGTGCAGCCAACGCTTCAAGGCAGTCAACGATGTAGTACAAAACGCCCACCCTTGCGACTTCATCAAGCCAAACACAGTAAATGCACCCTTCTCCATGCTTCCACAATGTCACATCGCCACCACCATCACCCTTCAAAGCCACAGTTTCCTACCAACAGACTTCTTTTGAGCATCCTCTCACCCTGCTACGCCGCCACAGCAAGCCTTTCCGCCCCAACAATGCTAATGTAACACCATCTAACACCCCTTGCATTCCTTCACCCACAATGAGATCGGCTGATACTGGGACCCCGATCCCTTCCCCAGATGATAGATCTCCCTAATCTGGTCCGAGTTGGGATCTACCCCGAAGGCATTGCTCTTCCCGTTGACCGTCAGGTAATTCTGATTGTCGACCCCGAATCCCGCCACGACGGCACCGCTGGGCAGGAGGCTCGATGGAGCGACCCAATGCTTATGGAAAGACCCCTAAAAAGCTGCTGGAGGAGCTCACACAGAGGTTAGAGCAAAGGCGAATGGCTGAGGCTACCCAAATTGGTCGAGGACGTGGACGCGGAGTCAGAGAAGGAGGCGATAGATGAATGAACTGGAATCTGTAAATAGACACAAAAGGATATATAGGCGAGGGCCTAGGCAAGTGATCCCAGAGTGACAAAGATATGGCTTAATGACTTGTTTGCATCTAAGATAATTCCTATCAGCAGCCTCCCCAGGTTGTGCACCCGTTTGGCACAGGGCCGCGGTCCTGCCTGGGCCAGCACCTGGCATAGGCATGGGCGGAAATGCGACTGATCCTCGCAAGGTTCCTGACTAGCTTTGACGTCCAGGCAGTGAATAGGAAGCACTTGCAATGGGAGGAATTGCGCACGTTCTTGTTGGTCGAGAAGCTACCGCTGGAGGTGCGAGTGCGTCTGGCTCCGGATCAATAGTTTTTATTTGTAACTGTACTGTTCAGCCACCATGTGGGGACCTGGTCTATCCAGGTCCCTGATCACGCCTAGAAGCAGCTCGCTTAGTGCCGACAGTACCTAGGTAGTTTCATGTCCGATCATTGTAAGTGGCTCCTGCCGTTAACCAAACCGGGAAGCCCACAGGATAAGCACTAAATTAGGGCTAGTGAGCTTGAGCCAACCGCCCTAAAATCTCACTGTTGCGCTAGCATGTCAGATTAGACGAGCATAATGAGCTGGCTGAGGAACCAGAAGCCCAGCTCTGGCAGCAATGAATTTCATCACTTTTAAGAAGTCTCACCCTTGCATCCTGAGCTCCCACCGCCGACTCCAGCTCACCATCTGATAATGGGTGCTCAATTTTCGCAATTCTTCCCTCCGCGCCCGACATTCACCCTGTCCGACGTTCCCTCGCAGCAGGGGAAAGTCGTCATCGTGACCGGCGGTGCATCCGGAATAGGACAGGAGCTGGTGCGCATGCTCTACCAGAAAGGGGCGACAGTCTACATCGCCGGCCGGTCCGAGCCGCACGCTCAGGCGGCCATCCAGGCCATTCAAGCCAGGACCACCACCACTGGGGGCCAGCTGTACTATCTCCCTCTGCATCTAGACGATTTGACCACCATCAAATCCACCATCGCCGCTTTCGCATCGCGGGAAAGTAGACTCGATCTGCTCGTCAACAACGCGGGCGTCTCCCAGCCCCCACTTGGAAGCGTCTCCGCGCAGGGGATCGAGCTGCAAATCGCCACCAACTGCCTCGGCCCCTTCCTCCTGACGCAGCTCCTCCTCCCATTCCTCACCGCTACGGCGACAGCCAACAACGAATCCTCCCCGGCACCGCGAGTGATCTGGACCAGCAGCCAGGTAGCCGAGCTCTCCGCGCCGCCGGAGGGGATCATCCTGTCCGAGCTCCGCGACCCGCCCCGCGATGCCGTCCGGAACTACGTTACCTCCAAACTAGGCAATTGGTTCCTCAGCGTGGAGTTCGCCCGCCGGTACCGAGACGCCGGGCTGGTCAGCGTCGCGCAGAATCCCGGGGCGGCGAACACCAATCTGCTGCGCAACGCGCGGTGGATGAAGCTGCTGTCGTGGCCCTTGCTGTACAGCCCCGACCTGGCGGCTCACACGGTTCTCTTCGCCGCCGTCGCGGAGGAGCTGGACAAGCCCGACAACACCGGTGCGTATGTGATCCCCTGGGGTCGACTGCATCCCGGGGTGGCGCCGAAATTGGCCCGGCATTTGGCGCCAGCGGAGGAGGGCGGCACTGGGCGGGCGGGCGAGTTCTGGGAGTGGTGCGCGGAGCGGACGAGGGATTATTTGTGATCAGATTCTTGGGAACGACAGAGCAATCTCAATGAAAGTGCATCAGTTGGGGTGCCTGGGTTGTTGATTGGTAGACCTGCGCTTGGTTAGCTTAACTACAGACTCGGTGGGCCAGTGCTAACGCGGCACTTTGGCTCGCTTGAAGGTATTGAGGAAGTAGATTGTTGGCGTTAGAATTTCCCTCAAGCGTGTGCTCAACTGCAGCTTCCTAGTAATGTAGGGCTAGGGCCGTCATGTGCTGTGCTTGGACCCGTGTGATGACCAATGATGGAAGGGAAGTGTCACGCGAGAGCATAGAGTCTCATTCCTCAGGCTTTTAGCGGAAAGACCTTGATGGAGTTCAGCCTGGACAGAAGCTCACGCTAGATATCAATAGTATCAATGGACCGATGCTCGTCATTCGCACGTACTGCTACACAATAAGGCACAATGAGAAGACATAATACCTTCAGTGGAGATGTCACATCATTCAAGTACTGTACCCAGCATGAGATTTATAAACTGGAATTTACTTATCTCGCCTTTGAGTCCAGGATAAGCCCAAGTATTCAGGGCGTTGACATCGTCAGGGATTGTTCTAGGCTTTCCTCGCTGCGGAAAGACTCGAATCAATCATGGATCTATCTTTCGTTCTCCTGAAAACACCCCGTTGACGCTTCGCCCATCATCTCCCTGTGACGCACAGAACGGAGACTTGACCCAATCACAGCTGTTCTTGACAGCTGGGTTAAAGGATTGTTACTCTGCATCTGCGCTCGAACTCTGCTGCCTACGAGCCAATCCGCGGTCTCTTACGTCCACGCGGGGAGGATGTTTAAGCTCTTCTGGGCGTCTTCCTTTAGCGCAAGAAGGTTCCCTAACAAAAAAACAAAAAAAAAACAAAACAAAACAAAAACAAAAACAAAAACGTGTTGTTTACTTGAAAGAAGGAAGAAGAGAAAATCGAGGAAAAAGAAAGACAAAAAGTGGAAAAAAAAAATACAACAAAGAAGTGAGAGGACATTTCTTTGTTGAATTACATGAATCATACTACTTAGTCGATTGAATTTCAGAAATGAATGAACTAGAAATGAGTTGATGGCAAAAGGCGATCTCAGAGGAGTGCAGTTACGCTCCCCAATGAACCTGATCAACACAATACCTCCACATGTTAAGCCATGCTCGCAATGGAGCTACTAAACATCACATGGTTTGAGGCTTTCAAAGCGCTTCTCAACAACGGCGTTGAGGTCACTGAATCGTAGGCAAAGACGAGGCTCCGGACGAGGGTCCAGACCAGTCTCCCCCGAACAAATATCCTCCTGGACCAGCCCTCTGATGAACTTGAGCCATCTGAACGAATCATCTGCCATCTCAACGATCCGGCGCTCCAGTTGATTTCGCTCGTCGACAGTCCCTAGACTTGCGTACTTGCGCCACACCGCATAAAAGTGCGATATATTCCCCGATTCCACCGTTCCACCGGCAGGATGTGTCGTCTCAATTCCCTCTCCAGTCAGCAGCGCATGGACATACCACAGCATCTCGATAAAGTTCACCTCATTGAGATTGTAACCGGGATACGAGCCAAGGGCTTTCTGAAATGCTGGCTCGCCGCAACTGGTGATACAGATCTTCACATCTCGCGGCCTGAGACGCACCCAGTCCGTCAGAGCATCCAGAATCCTAGTATGGTCCGCTGGGTTGAGCTGATTCAACCCGTCAAGATATAGGAAAATTCTATGCTTTTCATAGATGGCATCAGATGTGACTAGTCGATTCCAGGCGGACAGTGCCTCAAAGTCCCCTATGAAGTAGTCCCTGGGTACCGGGCCTGCCAGGCGGCGACGCACTCCTCATCCAAAAACTCTAGGGGTCGGCTGGGCATTTTCTTTGTCCTGCCAGGAAACAGCAAGCGAGCCAGCTCTGGGACTGTTTGCTTCCGAGCAAAACAAATATAGTTCTCTCGCTGTAAGAGCTCAGAGAGGATGGCGCGAATCATGGCATTAAAGTTCTGTTCGCCACTAAGTCCTTCTTGCTGGGACTTGCGGAAGAAGATTGTTGCTTCCAGTGTTTGCTTGGTGGTTTCCAACCAGCTGTTGCTTCGAAAATAGTATTTGTCCTTCCAATATTTAAGATCCTCCACGTGCATCGATTTTCCTGATCCAGGCTTACCAATGACGTGGAAGATTGGCTCGACCCCTTCGTCAAGAGCCCAGCAACTGTATTCCCGCCCGCGCGCCTGCAGAGGCTGGAGGTCTTTGCTGTTAGCTTGTGTAAAGTTCCGGAACTCCTCACCGTGATGGCGCAAGCGGATTTGATTTAGCCAACACTGCCCGCGAAGTACTGATCTTTCGGGATGATCGTCGTCACCTTTGTCAAGAGTCCAGCCACTGTATTCCCGCAGGCTTGCCCGCGGAGGTTGCCCGAAATACCAGAAGTTGTCACCGTATATTTCCAAGTAGATCGCTTTTAGCCAACGCTGCCATTCAAATAGGTATCCGCCACCATGATTGCGAACGTTTTCTGCCTCGTCTCCAAAGGGCGGATTGTCCACCTCGGGGCCGACGATCCTGGATTCGTAAACAATGCGCTCCGCGAGCCACTTGTAGAGCAGCACCGTACATCGGTTCTGCAGCGCGTCGGCAATCTGTCGAGTGTGTGAACACTCTATTACAAACTGTCAATTGTGAGCTAAATTGCGAACCTCGTCGAATATCTTCTCAGTTGAAGGGTTGGGACGTTTCTCGACAGACATTATGGCAGTCGGTTTGAGCAGTGCTTGCGGTCTGATTTTCTCTTGTTCTGAACCAGGGGATTGGAATGATCAAGGTGCACGATAATGAGACAGAAATTGAACTCGCAGAGGGTTCGAACTGCTGTATTTATACCCTCGCTATCACTCTCGTCGGGTGGCGTCTGCGAAAATTCAAGGGTCAGCCTAGCAAGAGATATCGCCACTCGAGACGAGCAGACGAGGGCATTTCAAGAACTACGAACAAATCGGCATTGCGACAGCGCCCTTTGACCATTCCACGAAGAAAGAACTATCATGAGCAATGCTACCATGGAGGCAGTCCCAAGAAGATTTGGCGGACCGGATTGCAAGAACACTTGTACGCATTGATGCTTGCTTGACATAGAGTGCTGTAGGAGATTTGCAGCTTCTTCATAATGAATGAGTTAAGACAATGCATTAGTCCTTCGGATCGGACAATCGCGGTGATAAAGAGTAGTTAGTCATCAGATGAAAAATGAATAGTTAGGCTTTGTACGCGGAGGCTGACTCAGCGGGCTCAGGGTGTTTGCACTATTTGGCGAGGCCTGCAAAGAACTCCAGCCCTTATCACGTGATACAAAATGGCATGGATGTGTACGGATTATGCAGGCTTGGCCGGGGCGATCGTCGCTTCACTTCCCAACCGGTTAGCCGGAATTTGTAATACATGATCAAACCTGCCTTGCACCGTTGTACCTGGTGCGTTGAAAGCTTATCTTCTCTGCCTTTGCCAGCAGGTAGGAGATGTGCTCGACTTGGCATGAGTTTCACATATCTACCGACGCAAGATGTGGGAAAGGCAAGGAGAAACACAAAAACAATTGAAAGAGTGTGTACACATAGTAGAAATGGTACATGTACATGCTGACTGAGTGACTGAGTCCGGCCGCGATGAATAGGCTGGGAGCTCAATCCCCTTCTTGAGAGAAACTCGCGATAGCAAGTATAAGCTTGCTGCGTTGCGTCGTGATTCTCTGTAGTGGCCGATTATAATGTAGGTTGTCCGTTCGACATCCGCATAGTCGCGCAAATTTTCGGAGAAGGAAGAAAAAGGAAGAAGAAAGGGGACTGGAGAGATCATCTTTGTGTCTCTACGAGACGAGGCGATGAGATGGGCCTTCCCAACTTGGATTTGTTGCGAGGAGTGGCCAAGCGTGATTGCTCACACGACTCAGGATACCCTGCCTCTCTTATTAGCCCAAGTCAGCGCCGTTGTCTCAGTTCGTTTGATGAGACGCACAACCAGCTGTGTCAGTCCTTGCCCATCCCTCAGCAGAATCCTCTCAACTCTGCTCATCCCATCACCAAGATACATTCTCATCCAAGTGTGTACCTTGTATCCCAAGCCTTCTGCTTCGATTTCTCTCAGCTCTGCCTCCTTTTCCCTTTGTTATCAGTTTTCATCACCTTTCGAGCTTTTCCGTCCAGGATCTTTTCAAATCCTCCTCCAGTATCTTCTTCTTACCATCCTGGAACCCCTTTCTATCGTTGCTTTGACGGGCAACATCCTTCAGTTCATCGAGATTGGGGTCAAGGCGGTCAAGCTTGGTGTGGAAATCCACCAGAAAGGCACAACGACCGTGAACGAAGACCATAGCAAGATGAACGGCGATTTCAGGGTGGCTGTGAAGCAGCTCAGGGACCGTACAGCGGTTGACGATCCCGAGCTTGAGTCCCTGTGCGAGGACTGTCTCTCACAAGCCATTCAGCTCCAGCAGATCCTAGACAAGCTGAGAGACGAAGAAAGCAAGGTCAAAAAGTTCTTCGCGACTTGGTTGAAGGAAGGCCAGATCACAGAGCTCAGAACCAAGCTTGACAAGTACGAAGGGCGACTAAAATTCCTCATCGAGTAAGAGGCTAGCTACACAATCTGTCGCAGCTGTCGAGAGTCAATACTGATGCCTTTCGGTCACTAGCGTGAGAGTACACAAGTCTGTTAAGACCATTGAGGCACACACTGCAGCAATCCTGAAGTACACCCAGTTCTGCAACGGTCGGTTCGACTCGCAACTCGACAGCATCTCAAGTGCAGTTTCGGAGATTTCGACCGAGGTGTCTAATCTGCGCCGGACGCTGGATGAAAGGACGACTGCCATTGAACAGAAAGTGGACGAAAATACGATTGCCTTTCGAAAGGGAATCAAAGAACTGAAGGCTGATGTCAATCCCTTTAGAACACACAATTTTGTCCTTGAGCAGCTAGCATATGCTGGCATGGGCTCGTGGTACAAGAGGGTTGACGTGGCATACCCCCAGACCCTGCAGTGGTTAGTTGATGAAGCCGTCACGCTTCGCAAGGAAAACCAAACTTGGTGTGAAGAGACGCGCAAAGAGTTCGTCCATTGGCTCAGGAAGGGCCAAGGAATCTTTCATATCACAGACAAGCCTGGCTCGGGGAAATCAACCCTCATGAAATTTCTCTTCGAGTCACCGCACTCACGGAAGCATTTGGATGAGTGGGCTGGCCAAAAACGTCTCGTGGTAGCGAGCTATTTTATTGGGAATGGGAAGCCTCCGCCACGCGAGCAGGACGCCGGCGATGAACACAACCGGCAGGGTTTGATCCGTGGACTTCTGCATTCTATCCTCACTCGAGCACCTGAGTTCATCCCTGCCATATTCCCAAAGCTATCCGAACACAAACTCCAACCGCTGAGCGATCTCGATATAGAGACGGCTGTGGAAAAATTGCAGCAGACAAATCACTTATACGACGACCACAAGCTCGTCATCTTTATCGACGGCTTGGATGAATTCAAGGGTGATTGCATTAAATTGTGCGATAACCTCGTGGCCTGGACCTCTGATATGCCCGCCGACGTCAAAATATGCGTGTCGAGCCGCGAGGAAGTGCAGTTCCAGAAGCGGCATCGATTGTCCGGCACATTCCGGCTCCAGGATGTAAATCACACGGACATTTGTACATTCGTGCATGGCAGATTAAATGAACACACTTGCTACCGGCAATGGAGTGACCAGGATCGGCTAGATTTAGAAACATGCATCGTAAGAAAGGCAGAGGGGGTGTTCTTGTGGAGTCGGCTCATAATTGGAGAACTCCAGCCTGAAATTGACGACGACACCGGACTGTATGTCCTCAAGAGCCGGGTCGAGGAACTCCCTCGATAGTTACCGGACCTGTTCCGGCACATTATGAAGCCAATCCTGGACAAGGAATGGAGATACGCAATTGCCTCGATGAAGATGGTCCTTGTGGCGCGCTTTCCGTGGTCCTTGTCTCGCTTTTCCTTCTTGGAGAAGTACCTTAAGGATCCGAATTTCGCCTATACTCTAAGACTTGATACCGAAGTTGAGGGAGAGGAGAAACTCCTTGCGCGACTCGAACAGACCAAAGCGCTTATTAACCGCCAATGTCGGGGGCTGTTGGAAGTATCGCACCGTCGAGTGACCCGTGAAACAACGGTCACATTCGCACATCGATCAATACCCGAATTACTCATACAAGAGCCCAGGTTCACTCAATACCAGGCGTTTCCTGATGGGTGTGATGCACTGGATGCGTTGAGCCAGATGCTGCTGGCCGACCTCACATGCCATGCCACATACAACAGATTGCAGCGGCGCACTATGAAAATTTGGCATCAGTGCGTCAGAATAACGCCTTCCACGCGAGAGGTCTCCTGCGAGACCATATGGGCATACCCGATGGCGGGTTTACTTCCCCAGTTTCGAATCCCTTACGAATTGTGGACCGATGTCTTAAATGTCCATCAGCTTCTCAATGCTCTGGGTAGACTAGATCAAACTCCGCGGCGGTCGAAGAAGATCGCCGAATTCCTGATTGCAGTTGCTAGAGCCATTGAGTACACTCTTCCGTCTGAATTCGACTTTCGATTGAGCTTCCCCCCCGTTCCGCTTCCGGTGCCGTATCCAAGAGAGAAAAATCCAGAAGTCATTGTGGGTGTCAAGGTACTGTTTCAAATCCTCGCTGCATGCAATGGGATAATATGGCCCGAGTGTCAAGATGCTCTCGGGCAAAAGATTCCATTCAACACGCTGGCCTGCAACGTCATTATCGCAACGCAGGCAGAGCAACCCCACTTGACGTGGGGCCTCATCGCAAGTCTCAAGACCTTTTTGTCTCGAGGTTTCTCACTAGCCAGTCCTGCCGAGCTCGATGATGCGGTAAACCTTTCACATTGGGAATGCTTCTTGGCCGAGGCCTTGGCCCACACACCCGACTTTCCAAAGCTTCGACGCCTCTTTCCTCTGTTCCATCTGTTCTTGCTATGCGGTGGTGATGCGCGTGTGAATTTCAAGATCAGGCTGGAAGCGCAGCCTAGCCGTGCGCAAAGTCAGAGCAACCCGCCGCGAGGTGCGCTGGGCCTTGTGGCGGGCGCGGGCGAGGAGAGCAAGGAAAACATATACCATTTCCGACACCTGGAATCTGTAGCTACTTTGGGAGCGCTCAGAGATAGGCTTGGAGACGAATTCTCTCTTGAGGATGTTTCCAGATCACTGGCCCCACCGGAGGAAGCACCCACACTCCACGAACTAGTCGTCCTGCGGCTGGCCGAACTGTCGCCAGAAGAGCAAGCATCGAGGACCGCAGGGCTGAAAACACGTGTCGAACGGATGCTCACTGTTGAGTCCATCGAGGAGGCACCCCGTCTCTAGATGCCCGTGGGTTGTGGACTCCAGCTTGTAGAGAATCCGTCAGTCAGTCTTGCATCCAGCACTAGCAACCAGGGCGGTTATTGATGGACTTAGGGCTATATTTCCGGGGTGTCATTTTGTGCGTGTGGTGATTGGTATCGAATATGTGCCTGAGGCTTTCCACCATCGATGCGACCGGCTCATTTACTCCGGACTGGCTGTGAAAAGGACCTGCTGCACTGCTTGCTGGCTCCTCTCGGTCCTGAGGGCTGGTTCTGTAGTGATGTGCAGTATTCTCTAGCTTCCAGATTTCAAACAAAGCCAAAATCGTTTAGTTCCATCTGAAATCAATTCCTCGTTATGATGCATTTAGACGCCACATTCTGGGAACCAAAACACTCCAGACAAATTACAGATCCCCCAGAGGGTGGTTATCAACCCCTATACCTTGGACAGGGAATCAGAGCACATAGCGAAAGTTCGGATTCTCCTTGTCCGTCAGATCGTCAAAGGCCAACTCGTGATTCAGATCCGGCGCAGCTTGAGTCTTGAGACGGTTCCGGGCCAGCAGCAACAACCATGTCCCCACCACCAGAGCACTATAAATACCGTAGATCACGATGTGCGCCAGAAATCCATGCAGGTATCGGGGAGCATCCGAATTCTGAAAGACCTGCGGAGCCACCAGATTGCCAACCGCCCACCCGATGAAGATCATGGTCATGGTGATACCTTTTTTGGTCTGTCCCCCGATATTGCGTGTGACCAGAGAGATAATCAGGTTGCCCTCGGCCAGGAAGCATTGCGTGCAGTAGAACGCGATGAGCATGCCTCCGCTGTTTGATGAGGACGGCGTGACCACAAGGATGCAAATGGTGCCCGCGATGGCGGGGATTGTCCAGAGCTGTTCGAGCATTCCCATGTCAGTCAGAATTGCGATACAAAGGTGGCATAACTGGAAAGGCGCAGGCAAGACGGGAACTTACTAGCATAACCAAGCAAGTCTTCTGGATTCGCTGGGCAGTCCAAGCCGACCCGACCATGACACCGATCGTCCATGCACCTTGCGCAATATTCAGCAACTGGGTCTGGAGGAGCGTGAAGCCGAACTGTTCGATGATGAGGTTGGAGAATACACCCAGACCCCCGATGATGAAATTGGCCACCAGGATCATCAGCACACAGCACCACACAAAGGGATCAGTCAGAGCCTCCACCACCTGGTACTTTTTATACTTCTTATTGGAAATCCCTGTCTCATTATCCCGCACACGTTCAATCATTAATGCCTTCTCCTCTTCAGTATAGCACTTGGCGGAGTAGGGCGAGTCCGGCAGGAAGAGACCGATGAAAAAGGACCAGACGCATGTTGCACATCCCAGGATGAGGAATAAAAGCTGCCAGTTGAAGATCGGCCCTCCTTGGAATTTGGAGACACCGAAGGACAGCAGGCCACCAACCTGACATGATCAGTTCCATACATCAGCTGCGCAAGATAATGTAACGTACCATGAGTTGCACTCCGGTCATGCAGTACCATATTGAGTTCAAGACAGACTGTTCCTCGCGCCGGTACCACATCGATGTCCTAGGTGGTTGTTAGCTCAGACCGAATGTCGATCATATGAGAACGGTGAGACTCTACAGCAACATCATTGCCGGTTGGACGCAACTCTCAAAGAACCCCAATAGAAACCGTACTACCATAAGAGATGCGAAGTTGGTAGCTGCTGCTGAACAGGCCACGATGGCTCCCCAGATGAAAACGTTGACGGCTAGCATCTTCGCCAAAGGGAGTTTCTGTAGAAGGAAGTTTTGCGGATACTCGCCCACAAGAATACCGAAATACAGGATTGAGCCTAGCCAAGAATACTAGGAAGGGTTTTCAGTAGATGTCATTGACGACGACAACTGGCAAGTCCGGAGTAGCCCTTACTTGTTGCCCGACCAAGTGCGTATCAGTCTTGATGCCCATGATGGACGAATAATTCAGTATGCCCTTGTCGAGGGATTGGAAAAAATAGGTAACAACTTGGATGACCAGAATTCGGCGAGTGATCTTCCAGAAGAGGCGGCTGTTGGTGGCAGGGGTGATCACAATGGCCGAGTTCATTGCGTGAGGATCCAGCTTCTCCATACGGGTAGTATGGGCCCCCTCTTCATGAGCCGCGTCGAGATCCTCATGGTGGGCGAACTCTCCAGTGTCGACTTTCTTTGATGCGGTCATGATAATGAGTGGCTGAGGATGGCCAAATGCCGCGATGGGAGGGGGCCATGTTGCGGCTATATAAGTACGGCAGCATCTGCTATCTCTAATCTAGTTGCTAGCTGGTATCTTGACTAATCAATTCGCGACTTCAGTGCTGAGTCAGTATCCCTGAGTATTAGTACTGTTAATTCACTAGGACGGTCAAAGCCCTCTCTGTGAGAGCACTACGAGAGTACTGATCGGAGGGGCGACCGGCAATTGCCCCGGTTGTCCGGTGTTGCTCAGGCTCGCGGCGATCTTGCCCTCCTTTGGAATTGACGCATGGCGCCACTCATGATCCGCTCTCGATTCCCTGACTGTACTGGTGCTACTGGAGTACCTTTGAGACGCCTGTCAGGATTTCCCTCTATTCGGGGTAATCGGGGATCCGAAGTGATGGAGCCTGAGACTGAAGTCGTTGATCAACAAACCTGGCGAACATGAATGGCGGTTGACATCTTCAATGGGATAATACGTGGTAAACTAAATAGTTTGTCTTCACAGAACGATAGCTTTGTTCTCTTTTTTGTCTTCTTGATTCTCATTTTCACAATAGAAAATCGTTTTCATGTCTCTGGGGTTTGATGCGGGGAAAGTAACGGCGAACCAGCCCGGAGAAAAGATATAGGAAGCGCCACATATCAGCCACTTCGACATACTGCATTCATCTCGGGTCTAAACAAAGAGGCCTCAGGCAGGAATGTCCATACCACCGACCTATTCATTCAGCATCTTCTTACAATGCGTCCTAATTCTGTTCGGCTCGTCGTCACTCAGCTCCTTTTTCAGGTAGCGACCGGACTCAAGAACCCGATCCTTGCAGGATGGAGCCCAGATCCCTCGATTCTACGGGTTGGCAGCAACTATTTTCTCGCAACCTCTTCTTTCGAATATTGGCCAAGTACGCCAATCTACACCTCCACGGATCTCGGTAATTGGACGTTGTACGCTCATGCATTCACGAGGCCCAGCCAAGTGCAAATGTACGGCGTCCCGACAGGAGCTGGTATGTACATGCTTAGCCATCTTTTCATTTTTGCAGTGCCCGAGTCTTTTTGCTGAGAAATGTAGGTACTTGGGCGCCGACCTTGTCTCATATCAACGGACTGTACTACCTGGCATCCATGACCCGGTGGACCTATGACCCTGTTGCTCGTGTATGGCCCCGCGTGATCTGGTCCGTGTCCGAGGATCTCAAGACGTGGAGTGACCCGATCTGGTCCGACTGCTGGGGAATTGATCCATCTTTGTTCCAGGACCCAGTCTCCGAGAAGGTCTACCTCAACCTAATGGCGCCGAATAACGACGTTGACAGGATCTGGGGGATCTACCAGTGCGAGGTCGACCTCAGCACCGGGCGATGTACGGGGCAGTATCGCTCCTTATGGAATGGGACTATGACCCACGATTCCTCTGCAAGGCCCGAGGGCCCAAAAATGTTCTGGCGTGACGGGTATTATTATCTCTTGATCGCTGAAGGCAAGTCTACTTGAAGTAGCTCGACGAAGACCCGTAGCGCCCCCGGCAGCTGACCTGTCTCTGGAACAGGTGGTACCGATGATCTCCATCGTGCGACAATCGCACGTTCTTCGTCGCCGGAGGGTCCCTGGGAACCGGATCCCAACAATCCAATCCTGTTCAAAGGTCAGTACGGTTATGATAATTTGACGGTGCAGTCCACCGGCCACGGTACCATTTTCGATACGCCGGACGGGTTGTCGTATATCACGTACCTGGCACGCCGCAAGATCAATGGATCCTCTCCGTTAAGCAGAGAGACCTTTTTGTCCCCAGTCACTTGGCAGGATGGGTGGCCAGTCGTCAACGGAGGACAACCTGTGCTCCTGAGTGAGCGAATTGGGAATCTTCGCGATAATCCTGATGTGCGACATCCACCGTTCAGAGATTCATTCGATGAAGGCGTCCTCGACCCTTCTTGGTATCAGCTTCGGACCCCTTATACCCAGAACTTTGAGCTCAAGAAAGAAAACCCCGGGGGCCTCGTTCTGCGACCGAATGTTTTTGATCTGAGCCACCGCGACACCCCGGCTGCTATCTTACGCAAGCAGAGGTCCTTGAATATGACCTTCAGTGCCCGACTGCTGCCGACATCCTCTGGCCTCGGGTACGGCGAGATCGTCGGAGTCAGCGCCTATCTGAGTGAGCTGCAACACCAGGACATTGGTGTTTCTGGTTGTGTGAACAGTCCAGGGATGTGCATCTATACCACGCTAATGATGAACAGCACAGTTCAGGTATGTATGCATTGTAGGAGTGGGACTCACGAGGCTATTGCTGACCTGTGATGTTCCGTTCCGCCAGTATACCCAGGTGCCGCTGAATTCGTCGACGATCCCATCCGACCTGACCCTTTATATTCGAGCTGAGCCCTTGTCCTATCATCTTGGGTACAGCCAGGGTATGCATAGCCCGACAACATGGTTGGCCGCGCTATCGTCGTCGTGGTTGGCATTTGCGCCCGAGGATTATTTTGTATTCGCCGGCGCCAGCTTCGCGCTGTTTGCGACCGGGACCGGCAAGCCCTGGCCGCCCCATGCCCCAGACGTTGGCTTTGCGGAGGTCCAGGAAACGTATTTTGAGGAGAATATCCCGGACTACGATGACTGGGATGTATGATCATTGCGAGAATGATTCTGGCCTCTGCTTCTCACGCTCAACACTTCTGAGTCGGCTAGATTTATTGGTAATGGTTCTTGCTGTAATGGCTACGGCAGGGCTTGTTGCAAGACATTAATCTGACACCATTCCGACTTTAACAAATACATGTACTGCGTCGATGCGCGTGCGGTAATGGACGATAGAGTGTAAGGAATCTTTAGCTGGAATCCAAAGAGAGCAGAACCTCTAACGACTGCTGCTAAGACTCCGAGAAATGGGCTTGAAAAAAACAAACGAAAAAGAAAAGAAAGTAGATGTGAGGTACTTTCACTAGTTGCATTCTTGTCGAGTATACAGTATCTCATCACAGACCTAACCCTGATTCTTAGCAGCACCCCGATAAGTAGCCCCCCCCGGAAAAGCCAAAACACGCGATTTCATGATTGGGCTCTTGCCAACTAGTGCACACTTGTGCGCTTTCATAAGTAGTGGTCAATGCACGCTACCTACGCGAACCTGCTGCACAAGCAGAAGCAAGCAGGCAGATTCTCTCAAGGGATTTTCCCTTCCATATTACATTGCAAAATGACCCCCCTATATTCATAATCAAGCAAGCGTGTACATCAGAGTGCCATACCCCAACTGGTCATATCCGCCACTTGTGGTTCCATAATCACCGCCACCGCCCTCCGCACCAGAACCATCTTGCACGACCATGTTGCGATAGGCTTCGGTATAGGTGACATTCATTCCCTTGAGCACCCCGTAGTGGTTGTAGAGGAGCTCCCAGATAGGCCGGATATCGCCGCGGCTGCTATTGCTGATGACCGTCTGGTTTACGTCGTCGCTGTTGTCGTATGTCGTATAGGGGACATCGTAGCCCAGGTTGTACTTGGCGACGTATTCAGCACTGCATGATTGCCCGTTAGCCAGACGTACAAGTGTGATATGATAGCCTGTGGGGGAAAGGGGAATGGGACTCGTGACGCACCCAGCCAGAATTCGGTTATCCAGATATCCGAAGAGATCAGTCCCCTGGTTGTACGCGGTCTGCGCAATAGGGCCGAGGAGGGCGAAATCCAGCATCGAGTGGCCCTGGTCGCGCCCGGCTTCCTGACCCTGCCCCAGGGTCTCTCCGTCCACCTGATAGAGCTCCCAGATCGCCTTCTCGATCTGCCCGTTCCCGGCGCCAGACTTGAAATACGTCAGCCCTTCGCTGTACATTGTCTGGTTGTCGCTTAGAACACCGATCGACAAGACAGAAGCAATGTTGCATAGATCCCAATTGGCCCAGTAATGGTCGACAGCGGCGCCGTGGTGATTCACCAAGAAATCATGGTTGATCGGGTAGAACACGTCGACCATCATGTCGATGAAGCGGGTGACATTGGCCGCGGGCCACCCGGAGTAGGTGCGCATCACCTCCGCGACATTGGCAAATTGATACCCGTAGATGCCCGCGGCTAGGTAGAGGTCGGTGGTGCCGGAGATGTTGGTCAGGGTGGAGCTCCATTCGTCGAGGATGTTCACCACCACATCCGCGTAGCTGGTGTTGCCGGCGACTTTCCAGTAGATGGCCATGGCGTAAGCCGCTGCAATGTCCCTGTACAAGGAGGGATAGTTCTCCGCGTGCACCCCATCCGCGCCCCGATAGACGGTCGTCTTGGGCGACGGGGTGTAATCTAGGTCGATGTTGGAGCTGTTGCTGAGCTTGTACCAGCCCGTCAGCCAAGGCTCCGTCTTGCTGGAAACCTTGTCCACGATGCGCGCAAAGTCCGCGGCCGTATGAAGGAGGCCCGGATGGGTGAATGTGGCGGCAGTACTGTGAGACGCTCCGTGGCTGGAGGCATGGGATGCGCCATGGTGGGAGGCTGATGCCACGCCCAGTGAAATCAAGGCAACCGGAAGCGTCAGCTTCATCGTTTTGGCGGATGTCTGACCTGCAACAGGACAGTTAAGATGATCTCTATAAGAGAAACGGAATTGGAGCTCCGGTCCTGTGAATTGCTCGGTAGCTTCAAGCTTGACGAGTTTACAATTTCGAGTGAGGACACTTGACCACCTCAACTCTATATATTCCCGAGAATAGGGGAGCAATGGAAATCATGCCGAGAATTTGTTGTTGGTAGCAGATGAAACGGGCCATTTACTGGACGGATGTGCAAACAGCAGAGGATACTGCATTGTACTGTACTGTATAATCAGAATCGACAGGGGTTCATTGATCTCTTCTGCATTCAGAATCAAAAAGGAGGAAGGATTAAGTGGGGACTCACAGGGGCCGCGTGTGCTCGTCTCGGTGCAGCTGCCGCTACTTATCCCGCAGGGTTTTCTCTTGGCGGCTATTGAGTATCAAGACATTGAGTATCCAGCCACTCGCCGGGCCATTGAACGGCCCTTTTCCCATTGGATCTCCACGAGGCGTGAGCAGTACCCAATTGCTGGATCTTATATATGTACAGATTGTCTACTCTGTAGTTGCTTTGTAAAGACGATCAACGCGCAGCAGTGAGTCTCAGTGGGATCATACCCGATCTCCAGCTCGGCAAAGTTGACGACCAGGCCGCTATAGGATCCACTATTTAATCTACACGTTACAGATTACACTGAAACTTAGCGGCGTCTGTTCTCGTGTGCTGATCACAAAAGCATGCTGGTAAGCTCGCAAGATGCCCCATCGCTTTCTCAACGGCCCCCTCCCTGGCGCTTAGCGACAGGGTACTAATCGAGGGTAGTCAGATGACACCCAACAGAGATCCACAGGATCGACGCAAAAGCTCGAGGAGAGCCGGCATTCGCCTCATATGAGCAGTACCTTGCCTAAATCATTGACGCACATTCTCTTCTCCGAGTCAGTGGCCGCGAAGCTGTGGTATGTGGCGAGCAAAGCATTGGGAAAGGCAAGTGGCCGAATTAGCCCTAATAATTTTGCCGCTGGTCTTTGCTTGACTGACTGCTTCCGTAGGCGGAACCACCCACCTTCTATCCAGAATATACAGGTCGAGATGGTGGGAGATATGTTTATCGAGATCTAAGCTTCTGGACTTCGGGGTTCTTCCCCGGATCTCTGTACCTGCTGCTCGAACGGCAAACCATGTACGACCACCGCCGTATCAGGGAGAGAACCACCGGACCCCACCCTCTACAACTCGAACATCTGTGCCAATGGTGGACCATCAACCTGCACCAAAACGCCCTGCTGAGCACGACGCACGATCTGGGGTTCATGATCGCCCCGTGGGCAATCAAGGCTTGGGAGCTTCAGCACGACGCGCGCGCATTCAGCACCCTCGTCGTCGCCGCCCACACCCTGGCGCGGCGGTTCTGTCCCCGCGTCCAGGCGATCCGAAGCTGGGACACGTGCATCACCAAGCGATATGCCTTCAAGGATCCGTCCAAGGACTTTCTAGTCATCATCGACAACATGCTCAACCTGGATATGCTTTTCTGGGTCGCGAAAGCGACAAACGACCGCCGTCTATTCGACATCGCGGTCGCGCATGCCCGCACCACGCAACAGTATCACATCCGGCCCGATAATTCCTCATACCATGTGGTCAACTTTGACGACACGACCGCACAGCCGAAACAGAAACTCACTAACCAAGGATTCAGCGACGAGAGCTGCTGGTCGCGCGGTCAAGCATGGGGGATCCTGGGATTTGCGCAGACGTTCCTCTGGACGCAGGATCGATCCTTCTTGGCCACGGCGCAGGCGCTCGCGGATTATTTCATAGAGCATCTGCCGCCCGACGGGGTGCCGTACTGGGATTTCGATGCTCCCGTCACCGGCAAAACGCCTCGCGATACTTCGGCGGCCATGATCGCCTCGTGCGGCATGCTGTTACTTTATAAGGCTTGCCGGACACAGGGATTGGAGGAGGTTGCAGGTCGTTATTTACGAGCTGCCGAGCGGATTGTTCAAGGCACGCTCGCATCGTGCCTGAACCCCCCGACGTTTCGCTTTGCTGTCTCATCTTCGGAGGACCAGTTCGAGACGTATGAGGACGGAGCGCCCTCCGAGCATCAACCGAAGCAAGAATTCGGCTCCCTGGTGGTCGATGACGGGACAGAGGGAGGGAAGGCTCATCACCCACCGAAAGAGACGATTCTCAACGGTGCAACTATCAACAACTATGAGTTCGCGCCGCGACGCTGGGCTAACCATGGCCTGGTCTATGCGGACTATTACTTCATGCTCTTGGGGAATATGTTGCTTGAACTAGGGTTGGTAGAACCTGGGTTCTAGCATGGCAGCACATGCCATCTTGTGTGTTTGTTGTACTGAAAATAGACTCCGGGACAAGGCTCCGATCAGGGCAAACTTAATCACGAAGAGGTTGAGTTACAAGGCGACGAGACGATTAGATCATATTTTACATCGTAACATTAGAACAAAGGGATAGAAAAATATACATTTTCACGGGATTTTGCGATTGGTCTTGTTATACCCGACCCAATCCCCAAAACAAGCTATGGACGTGATAAGAGAGGAAATGTCTAATGTGGACCGGGATCCCAAAAGTGAGATCTTCCTGATGAAGATTGATCAAGAAATGGCAATGGTGCTTCCTTGCCTAGGCACGAAGGATCTACCATCGGCATTCCCGCCAGCGGGTCATATTGCACCTGCAGCGAATGGGGGAGGGGTGGAAACGCGAGGCTCAGACTGTCATTCAGGAAGTCGCTAGGGGATACTTGGCTCGCGACGCGGTCCTGCTCACTGCGGTACTCGATCAACGATTGCGCCTCAATTGAGGTCCAATGTGGATGCGATGCGGCCAAAGAGCTCTGTGCACTGTGTGGTAATGGTCCCGTAGAAGTTCCGACGCCGTCCCCATGGCGCCCACGAACATCGATTGAAGACGACTCGGCACAATCCACAGACTCCGAGTAAGCGGCTTGTCGAATGTCGAGGGGCGTCGCGGGTGATGTCGCATTGCAGTACATGTATTGCCGCGCTTTCATGAGCCTTTCGCCAAACACCGACGCCAGATTTCGGCGGTCCGTGGCACCGGGACCAGCCCAACGACGGGATATCTCCAGCAGACTCTCAACAATACTATCGAGCTGGTCTGATACAGGAAGCCTGGCATGCTGAGAGTGCACTAGTAGCATTCGTCCCGCAATGAAGAGACAGAACGAGAATTGTGGATTGGCAAGAATGGAGGAGTGCTGGAGAAACAGGCTACCCAGCATCACAATCTCGGAGGCAGCCTCGATACACGTTTCGAGTGAGGTTGCCGACGGAAGTCGCACAGGGCAATCTTTCCAATGTGCGGGAGGATAGGCAATACTCTGATGGAGTAGAATAAGTGCTGTGTTGTGGGTGAAATGCGCAAGAGTCAGATTCGGGTCCATGATTCCGTCCACGTTGAGAACCGAAGCCGATTGCCACTTTGGCGGCAGCAGGAGCTTCCACTGAACCAGGCGCAAATCGAGTTCCTTGAATCTCAGCAACCATTTCTTGGTCTTTTGAACGTCTTCGATGTCAAGGGCATTGTGCAAGAAGAAATGGACCACCAGGCTCAGCGACTCAGTGGCCTCGATGGCGTAGGCAAACCCGCCGATGGAGTCCTGTCCTGGGTGCTTATCGTCGTCCAAGATTGGACCGTTCGCTCCGTGGCTGGAATGATTGGCGATGCCAAAGAATGGCGTGGTCTGCTCTTGCTCCCGCTGCCATAATGCTCCCTCGCAGGGCAGGCGCCGTCGAACGTCTGCGCTCGTCAAACTCAGGTTCCATCCGGTCGAGACGCTACAAAATCTGTCCATCAGGAACACGGTCCAGAATACCCGTCTTCGCTCCTCGGTCTGCCACCAGTGTTGCGCTGGCTTCAAAAAGACCATTCGCTTGATGAGATACTCACCCTTCGCCGTTCTTCCCTCATCGTCGTCACGATCCTCGACACTTAGCTGGAGTTGTTCAACAGTGCGCGTCATGCTGCCGACTACCGACCACGCTGACGGGCCCCGACCACTCCCGATCTGCGTTGTAACTGTTATCAGTATATTCAACATTGTTGGGGAATGGGAATTTGCATACTATATCGAACGCTATAATCACCAATGCTTGCAAGTTCTCCACCGAAAATGACTCCATGCTGTTGAGGATCACTCTTTGACGACTAGCAGCCGCCATGTCTGCTCTTGATTGCGGATCTCCAGCCTCCGGGTGTGCAATAAAGCGGATGGAGGTAGCTAGAATTGCATGTAAAATCGGCAGGGCCTTGTTCCAGCCGTCGGGACTGTACAGCTGCTCACGAAATCGCCTGACATGGAGGATGGGAATCCAGGGATGGACATTAGTGAAATAGAATTCGACTAACTCCATCATGACTGCATGTGGTAGCAGCCCCTGCGCAGCGACCTGCGCGGCAGACAAGTCGTCCCCTGTCTCGATCGCCTGCTCCCCAACATTGGAGTCAAAATGGAGTTTCCGACGCTTGGCAGCACGCGCTTCTGGTGGTTTCTGCTGCCGCATGACATCCGTGTTTTCCTCTTGCTGTTCTTCGTCCTTAGACTCTTGTCCTTTTCCTTCATCTCTTAGCTCTAGCCCGAACGACGCTACACAAGTGCCACCAGGCATCCCTGCTGCCTCTTGCAGCAAATTCTGCTTGACTTCCTCAGATAACTGCTTGAGGCTCGCCGTACTACCTGCCGTTTCGATGCCATTGTGTGCGGGAGGGGGGACATTGGGCGATACGCCATCCAGCACCGCGCTCCACATCTTCTGCCAGAGTAGGCTTTGGCCGAGAAACATCTTCTCCAGCGTGTCGACGCGCTGTTGCAGCCGCTCGACGGCGCCGGCGCGGAGACCCGGCTTCGAGCGACAGTCATCGTAGAGGCAGATGGTGTTGAAGCGGGTGCATTGCGCGCACGGCTGCTCGCGGTCGCACTTCGTCTTCTTGCGCCGACAAGATTGACAGGCCAAGGACTTGTCCTTGCCGAATTCTGGCTGACCGGGCTCGTCGGCCGCCATTGTCACAGGTGCCAGAAAAAGCTGTTACCTGGAGACCGAGATATGGGGGATATTGTATCAGTCAGGTACCGGGTAGGATCAGGAACTCGTGCATGCTTCATCACCCCGGGGTTCGGGTGGCATTACCCCGCCATTTCCCCGCATTGCATGATTCCCGTCACTGCACTTTTCGGCAGATACTTGTGAGTTATTCGTCACATCCACATGCACATTACTTAGAATAGCCACACGTGTGTATATCCTTTTCTATCGCCGCAATCTATTCTCTCTTTTCATGTTCGATTTATCTAATTTTTTCTAAATCTTTTCAACCGATCTCTGTCTCCAAAAATTGATTGTTGAGTGTAGTACTTGTTTGTCTATCTCGCATAGTGGATTTGATATGTGGTAACAAAGGCATCTAACCGAAGATATAAAGTAACACTCGCCACACTGCTATCGAGAGTTGACAATCCCTGAGAGTTCGGATCACAATAAATCCGTCAAAGGCACCTGACAGGCTCTCAATCAATCAAGTTATGCAGCAAGTGGGATCTTGGCAGGATGGGAATGAGGGGCTGCTAGCTGAGGTATCTACTATGTAGTAGCCGGTCGTAATTTCACCCTCGCGGAAGAAGAAAGCGGCCGGTCTAATCGCCGGTCCGGGCTCCGTTCGCTCCGGAAGAATTCTCATCCGAAATGAAGGAGAAGAAGGTCGAATGAAACATACGTGAATCAGGGCTCAATCAAAGGTATTTCCTGGTGAGGGTACGTAATTGTGGGAGTGTTTGTCACATCCATGATTCAGTCCAACCGGAACCCTTGAAAATCTATGCATAATTGTCCACCAATCAAGTTGATCAGCACACTTTACACTGGAACTGAACCCTTCCAAAGCTGCTCAGTGTACAGTACAGTATGCGAGTTTCCCTGTCGCTCTGTTTCCGCCCAAGTTTCATGCTTCGGCCGCCCAGATAAGACCCCCCCAGCTCGGATGGTCGTTGCTGGAAACTGCCCCTTCGAAGCCTTCGTAATCCTGGGCTTTGGTCGTCCAGGGTGCCGTTGCCTTCTGCTTGACGACGTATTGGTAATACAGAAGGTCCCAGATCGGAATCTTGTTGCTGACGCCACGGTTCTCCGCCGAGATGACCTCCCAGGGACCATTGACAAGGACCGCTTCGCAGCGCGACCACTGCGGGTCATAGGTAACGGTCGAGTTGAGATTGTACTTGGCGGCATACTCCGCAGCCTTCAACAGCAGATTATCACCTACTGCAAACAGATTCACCCCTTGACTCAAGCCGACTCTGGCTCCGTAGGCCGACCACCCGATTCCGGACATTGTGTGGCCTGTTCAATACGGTCAGTAAGGAAGGACACTGGTAGAGGACACTGAGTATAAGGTGTAGAACACACCCTGATCCCGACCGGCCTCCACTGACTGGCCCGTGTCGGAGTTGTACTGTGCAAAGATACCGGCGCAGTTGTCCTGAATGAAGGCATTCATCGCGTAATTGTACAACTGCACATCGTCCAAGTAGACGGCGAAGCTGAGCATCGCTTTGATGCTGACCATGCCGTAGTTGGCCTGCCCCACCGCCGCCGACTGGCGCGCAAACAGCCAGTACAGTTGCGTGCTGAAGCCCGAGCCCCCTTGCCACCGGGCTCCGACTTCGGTCCAGTTGCCCTCCCAGCGCATGATCTCCGCCGCATTGACGAACAAATCGCCGTCCAGGCCAATCATGAGCGAGCGATCGATTCCGATGATATTGGTCAGATTGGTTCCCCAGGCGTCGAGGATCGTGGTGCTGCGCGTCCAGTGGGATTCGTTCTTGGTGATGTACCACATGAGCGCGTTCTGCCAGGCCGCACGCGCGTCGTGCGCAAAGCTGGTGTAATTGCTCGTCTGCCCGCGGGCAATCACCTCCTTCGGGCCCTGCATCTCATAGCTGGCCTGGGAGTAGCTGTCGGCGCTGAATTGCTGGTACGCGGAGGCCCACGGGTCCTGACCACCCAGCACCTTCGTACGGATCCGTTCCAGGTCGTCGTGAGTGTGCCAGATCCCGGGGTGAACGAAATCACTCGGACGCTTCTTCAGGTAGCTGGTGGAATCGACGCCCGAGAACGTCGCGACAATTGGTACGGGCCCGAAGATCGCGGGCACATCCTGCACCGTACACTGAACCGCCCGGATGGAGAGAGCGACGAGGGCGCATGTACTCAACAACAATTTCTACCGGAGAAAACAGAACAGGAGTCAATATGCCGGCTATCGTGTAGAAGGGAGAGGGGACCGAGGAAGTACACGCACCTTCATGGTCATCCGTCCGTCCTGTGCTGTACTTGCCGAGAACCAAAGCTGAATATAGCCGGATTATGTGTTTAAAAGGATCTCTTCCTGGTTTCCGCCCTTTTCGGATGGTACTCGATTATCGGATTTATGGCAGGAAAGGTCCCCGGTGAATCTGACCTTAGCGGTGCCCTAATGCAAGTCAGAAGCCGGACTCCGGGCCGTGCTTTGCACCGTCTCCGCTCGTGGAGAACTGCCGGTGAGCCCTAGAGTCTGCTGCGTGGATCGTAGCGAACGAACTAGTATATCTTTTCGGTGGCATCGAATTTCGCACAAGAAGACATTCCCCATATTCGATCGTCAGGCACACGACTATCCCCCCTGTCCCATCTATCCTTCTCTTCATCCGAGAAGCAGTGCTGCAGGCCGTGACCATGAATTATCTCTTTTTTGCTAGTTACTTCCTGCTGCCTATCATCAGCGGAGCCCTATCCACCACCGAGGATCCTCTCAGCTATCGGAACATTGCCGGAGGCTATGTCACTCCCAAATCAAAGAATACTACTACCCTTCTGGAGTTCATCAATTCTCGTTCCGATCTGAGTGTTCTTGCAGAGGAGCTGCAGAACATCGGTGGGTTTCCAACGGCTTTCGACACGGAACCAACCTGGAGCTTTACCTTCTTTGCGCCTAACAACGATGCCTTCGAGCTTCATACCGGCACATACTTCAACAAATTCAAGTCCACTCCGTCTGTTGACCCTTTCCTTCTAATCATGCAACTCCTGCTGAAAAGAAAACTGACACCTGACTAGGAAGGGCAAATGGTGGCTGGGCAACACGCTACTCTCCCATTACGTGCCAAATACCAATCTCAATTCTAGTAGCTTCAACGAGACCTACCAAAGGTTTCAGGTAGGCTACATGAGCCATGGAGTCATGTATAAAGCTCACACAATTCTCACTCCAGACTGCAAGTTACCTCTATGTCGGTTCGCAGGTTCAAGACGGCGAAATCATCCTGAACAACGTGGCCACCGTGGTGGAAAAGGATATCTCGATTACCAAGGTGAGTATCAGCGGATCGCACCTCCTTACTTCTCCATTTGATGTACATTAACCATTCTACGCAGGGAGCCATTCACATCATTGATCGTATTCTCGATCCCTCTGCCCAAATCTTCGAAACAGACCTGCCGAAGGTGTCTCAGAGTTTCATTCCTGGAAGCTGTTCGAACCAGGAGCTGTCATATTGCTGATGAATGAACGTCGTGTGGAGGGCAGTCAATCTCTTGTCAGAGATCAGTTGCTCCTGAACGTATGCTTATCGAGCACCTTACGCCCCTCAATTTGCATGGTTGTGAATGATAACCTGCAAGATGAGGAAAGAATTACCCACATAGTGATGGCTTGCTATAACAGATCGTTGTCACACAGCTAGCACGTTTTATACAATACAAAGCTTGATTTTGCAAACATATATGTATGTATCGTTGATAGATATACCTTTTAGAATTCTTTCATGTCAGAATCAGACTGTGAGATCTTTCAAACCATTCACTTCCTGATCCTAGTACGTAGAATTGTGGATTTGAAGTGTGAAATTTTGGCGACGGTTGTGATAGATATGTAGTCACAGCCTCACTGGACACAACTTGCTGAATTGTGAGAATTGATCACACAGCATGAAGACAGACAGACATAAGGAGCATGAAGATTCTTCAACAGCAAGCTTTCTTCTTTGTATTGCAAATGTTCTTGTTATTTTTAGGACGCAGGGTACATTATGACTATAAGCAGTTATTCACTTCCACGGTTGTCGCAGGTCGTGGTAGGGGTAAACAATTTTCAAATTCTACTCTATGATTCACATGTCCAGTCTGAACACAAGAGTCTGATACGCCTGCAGTGTGCCTGAAAAAGACCTGATCTTCCCCAAAGACCTTTCGGCCCACAGCTCCGTGACATTGACAGGCCCAGAAAGCTGCAACCCCAGAGTCGCAAAATCTACCTTCAATCTCTGTGGGTAGCTCTTCTCGTTGAGCAGGAGAACCACGTATCCATTCTCCACACTGCCCGCCCATACCTGCGCCAAGCCCTCGGAGCTGGCGTTCTGGACATAATGAACTGGCTGTCCAAGCAGGTCCTGATTGATTGCGATCATTTGTTTATTGGTAAGCACATTGAGCGCGTCGTCGGACAGCTTGGACAGGTCTGCTCCAATTATCAGCGGCGATTTGAGCGCCGCCCAGAAGGCAAAGTGCGTTTGCTGCTGATACAGCGTCATCTCCGCGTTGCCGATCTCCAGCATGTCCATGTCCATCCAGTGCCCGCGGGACTGGTACTGGCTAATCTCGCGCATCTTCCGAATGATGCTCATCACCGAGCAGCTCGCGTAGCCGGTGTTCAAGCAGTAAGCGGTCTTGCAGGGGCAGCCCGTTTCGTTCGCAAAGACGTTGGTGATGTCCCCTGACATGCGATAGGAGTGACCGATCGCTGGAAGAAGTGTTTGCGACGATCAGCAACTGTGGTCTTCCACATGCGCATCCGCATGGCAGGCCATGCAAACACAGGGACAGTACATACCTCCACCCCAGTGCCAGGGAAACTGATATCCCCACTCGCAGACAGAATACAGAATCTCCCGCCCGACCAGCTGTAGAGCCTTCTGCATGATGCCAAACCGGACCTGCGGCGCCTCGGTCATAGCCTGGTAGCCCCCGCAGTTGTCGTATTTCCAGTAATCCACCCCCCAGTCGGCCAACGTCTGCGCGTCGCGCTCTTCGTAGCCCCAGCTGCCGGGGCGGAATGCACACGTCAGCGTGCCGCTGTCGCCGTACAGACCCAGCTTGAGGCCTTGGGCGTGGACATTATCCGCTAAAGCGGGAATCCCGCCCGGAAAGGAGGTCGCATTGGCTTGCAGGTAGCCGTCCGCCGTGCGATTATAGTCGGCCCATCCGTCGTCCACGAGGACATAGTCATATCCGGCATCCTTCAGCCCGAGGCTGGTGAGGAGCTGAGCACTCTGGATGACCACCGACTCGTTGATGTTGGCCTTGTACGCATTCCACGAGTTCCAGCCCATCTGCGGGGTTTGACCCAGGGTGTTGGTTTGCGCTGCAGCAAGGCATGGGGCGATATGAAGGAAAGCAATAGCAGCCCGAGTAGCTTGGGGATTGTGCCGGAAATACATTTTGATAGACTCGATCGAAAGAGAATGCGGAGCATCGAGGGACTTCACAACACCAGCCAAGTGTCACAGATTTATGTTGTGCTGTGGAGCGGTGATGGAGCATGCTCCGGACATTAGGCCGATGGTCCGTTGTCTGTCGGTGTGCCAGGAAACGCGGACGTAAGCCTGGGTAGTAGTGAAGAGAGCGCACAAAGTAATGTAGCAATGCATCTTGAGACACTTACACCACAGTACCAGCAAGTTCCCGATACCTACTACTTTTAGTACTGGTTTAGTTGGCATTATGATTTTCTTGCTTCCGGGGAAAAGGGGGGGATCAGTTTCTGAGTGTCCGGGGGAGATAGATGTGCAGCCTAAGGGCGGGAGTCACGATAGCTAAGGGAAGGGTGACGTTGAGACTCGACAAGAAATAGAGGGCCTTGCAGTAGAAGCTGGTAAGTGAGTATCATGCGGGTGAGGATATATTGCAATGGCGATCTTGGCTATGTCCCGAAAGGATCCAAGTACGCCCTTTCTCTGATTCCAAAGGGCTATCCTCAGAACGAAAAGAGGAGACCTGCTGCCCACTGCTATTAATCAAGCCTGCACAAGTATGTAATTAGGCAAAGATATTGCCGTTCTAGACTTTCAAGTACACCGTATCAGCTAGGTAAGCCCTAAATCTTTTGTCTATCGTCGCTGAATATAGCCTAACCAGGGCACTGATTGGTTAAGCGGGCGTAAAGAAAGCCCTAAGGCGACTCCATGAGTTCTCAGCAACGGCCCAGCCTGCCCCAGCTAATTCAAAGCAAATATATGCGGCAGAAAGCTAAGTGGGCTCTAATTGAACGTTGCTGAGAACTTCAGCCATAATCCATCGCATCAAGTAAGAAAAGGCCGAGAAGCACAAAATCAAGCAGTGCCGGAAGTGCGCAGACTGAAAAGCACTCCTTAATTTCTAGTCTCACAATGAGTCTACATTGAGTAATAATTTCAGCTACCTTCATGTAATCCACAGATACCATACATGGCGATTTGTTGGCTGGGAAAGATAAAGAGATATGCCCGGGGCCGAGTTACTACAGAGCTCGAGACTGCATCTGAAGATGAGTTTTAAATCTACATTTCGACGCGAGACACACTGTATCAGAATCTTCCCATGTGGCTGCGCAAAGAAATATGGGCTCTGGATGCAATCAATCGGAAGTGAAGAGGCTATCTGATAACTCGTAGCTACGTCCATGCCTAGTGTCTATCCGGTGAAAGGAAGCTACCCCTCTAAAGCACCAGCGTACTGCTTCGCCAACCCCAGGATCGGTAGCGCCAACTGCTCCAGATGTCTGCTCACGTGCACCACCAGTCTTTTCCACTTGTCAAATTTCTCTCCGCAGAACCGACAGGACTCCTGTTGCGGGGTTGCGTCGCTCTCATGGTGACACTGCCGGACCAATTCCCACAGATTCTCTACATTCACATGCCCTTGTGCATCAAGAGCCCTTTGCGTGGCCGTTGTGGCCTTGATTTTCTCGACTCTCGGCTCGGCCATCTTGTGCTCCCGAACGAGATGCTGCACGAGATTGTCCTGGCGAAAACACTTGTAGCCGCAATCGTCATAGGAGCAGACCCACCACTCCAACTGCCGGTGCCTTTCGGTCTCGTGACGCACCCAGTCCGCCTTGCGTTTGAACGACCGTGCGCCCGCGCAGTCGGGGAATGTGCATGTGAACGGTTGAAGATCCTCGGCGACGTGCTTCGGCCAGTCCAACGCCTTCTGGAACTGTTTGACTTGGAAACAGGTGGGACACTCGAACTGCGCGGTAAGGTTGGGGCCGCTTGCTCGGGAGGAGACTCCTCCCGTAGGGGCAACAGCAGAGCAATACGGCCCGGAGGGACAGGAGCGGTTGCGCACGGCGTCTGAATGCGCGCGCTGAAGTGCGACAAGTCGGTCGTAGCGGCGGAGCTGCTCGCGCGCGAACCGATGGATTAAAGCTGGAGGCCCTAGCCGGGGGAACAGCTGTCGGATCTGCTGTTCGAACCCTTCGACGGTCGGGTCTATTGTCGATGGTGCTACGGCGAGGGCATTGATTGCAAGCTGCTGCTGCTCGGCAGAGTCGGTGGGCTCGTTGCTGTGATCACCTTCCGGGACCTTTTCTCCCTCTTCAATCCTATTCATGCCGTGGAATGTGCGGTTCGGAATCCCGACCCGCGTAGGTAGGACCCCTGCATGCTGCAGGACGATATCTGTATGCGGTGCGGCAGCCCGATGGGTCCCTTTGCCCGGTTGCCTTCGACCAAGCACAATCGCCAACGATCGGGCGAACTGATTCGAGTGAGGTAGTGAGAAGATTGTCACGCCTGCGCCGCTGTCCGGAAGATACGGGTCTGCGCCGGCTTGGAGAAGAAGTTCAGCCGCCTCATAATGTCCCCGCCAACAGGCCACAAACAAGGGCGTGGATCCATAGCGGCCACCGGGCGCGTCGACCTGCAGATCAGGCACAGAGGCCAGGATCGCTCTGACGACCGGGACTAGACCGAACGACGCGGCGTAGTACAGCGGATGTGTGGTTTCGATGACCTCGAGCTCGGCCTCGGGAATAAGCGTCTGCACCCAGACACCGTAGTTTCCTTGGCGTGGCAGATCGCGCGAGTTGAACAATTTGTTGACGAGCTGACGGTCGCCATCCTCGTCGAAATCGCAAGCTCCGCCGTGGGTCGCCCAGAACGCGGCCGCGTACGATAGGAAGGGGTGCTCCTGCTCGCGTGCGGCTAGTTCATCGAAGGACGATTCGTATCCGGAGCGGAAGTTGTCGAGACACAGATAGGTCAGGCAGAGGCGTGTCATGGTTTGATCGGCTGTTGCCGGGTCCAAACAGAAGTATCGCACGCTCGAGGTGCGGATCCACTCGGAGGTCAGGAACTCCTTGACCGAGGCATGGGCTAAATTCACTCTTCCGAACTCATCCTCGGTGATGAGTCCCTGGCAGATATGCAGCAGAATCCGAGGTGAGATCAGCTTAGTGTCTTCATCAAGTATCGTGCATGCCTCCTCTAGTACGACTGCTTCGCTCAGCTCCGACAGGGTGAGCAATCGCTTCGAGAAACTGAGCCAAAACAGAGTGTTGCGGCCAAGTTCCTTGTCACTGGGACTGATTCGCTCGAGCATGTGGATGTAGGCCTCCCCTAAAGTCCTTGGCAGTGTCCTCAATGCCTCCCGAATAGATTTCGCGGTTCTCAGGGAGGCGAGGTTTTCTAATGAGAGCTGGGTCCAGCGGAATCTGCAGCAAAGAAACCCGATCAGCTTGGAATTCTGCTATACCGTCCACACGGGAACTACTGACGATCCATCGGCACCCTCCATAAGAGCCTTCCACACCTGATCCTGTAGTCGCGTACTCAAGCTCTTGAGTGTCGAGTCGTGCTGCAATCTGAAGCGAATGAATGTGTCAATATCATCACTGATTATACTGGAACTCATATGTAGAATCCTGGCATGACGTTCGGATACAATATCATCGGTGCCGGTTAGGAAGATTCGAAGGTTTGGGGTAAGTTCCGAAATCTTCAACAAGGAGCGTATAAGCTCCTGATAGGATACACTTTCGTTGATCGCATCAATCAGGAGAATGATCCGTCTATCATTCTGTGTACAGTTTGTGATGGCATCTGCCACTACACTGATGTCGATCGGCTGTCGGTGTGGATGTGAATCTGTAGCCTCAAAGAATGGCCGAATGGTGTCCAAGATTGAGGGCACCGATTTAGAAATCTGGGCCACCAACGAACCTAGGATGTTCACCGGATTCTGAAAGTCAACGTCGCTGAATCTGCAGTAGAAGTAAGCGAAGACCAGACCATGGCCCTTGGCAGTAAACGCGGCCAGCTCGTCGACGGCGTGAGCACTAGTGAATGGCAGCATGTCAGCGTTATCGGCACAGGCCGCCGGAAGACTTACAAGAGCGTTGTCTTGCCGATCCCAGCTAGAAGAAAACTGTCAGCCTTTGCCGGAGTGCAAAGACTCTTGACGTACATACATTTTCCCAAGAGACAAAGAATGCTCCGATCAACGACATCGCTCATAATCCAGTCCTCAAATGTATGATTGACGAACCACTTCCCCGTGCAATCGACTCGATCCCTCGAGATCTGCTGGTGAATACTGACCGGACTGACGGGGGCTAACCATCGAAGCAGATCGTTGTGCGCTGCCTGGACTTTCTCCTCATCTCGTATCTTTAGTTCTGCCTCTAGAGACGTTGCGAGGCTTGTTATCTTTCCATGGAGATCTCGCTGAATGGCAAGGCTGTCGCTCGAGAGGACGATGATCAGCCAGGACTTCACCCTTTCTAGGCGCGTGAGGTGTGTAGCAAATTGTTCCTGGGTGAACGGCCACTCCAGCTTTTGCTTCAATCTATTCAACCTGCTTGTCGGCTCCTCTAGGTCCAAAAGGAGGAGTTGAACCGACTCGTTTGCCTTCTCCAGAGTGCTGTTCAGCGAGTCAGTGGCAACTGAAGCCAGTTTCCTCGTTTCTGGCGGCGAAGAAGACTCAAACTGCGAGCTCAGGTGTTCCAGGATTCCTTTGAGACCGAAGAGTTCCTCGGTCAGTCGGCGGATGTCGGAACTCGCATCACGGACTTTCTTTGCATATGTTAGGAGGCGATGGATGAGGTCGCCAACATCAATGATCAATGACGTTATGGATAGGGGGTCAGCCATTTCCACCACGGAGAGCAGCCGCATGCGAACAGTGTGAGAATCGGATGTTCGTCTTCGTAACCCCTCATTCAGCCGCTCTGGGCTCGGAGCACGTGATAGTAAGCATGATTGCTTATGCGTGTGTACGACAAGGGCAGGCTTGTCAGTTCCTCCAGCCAGTCATCACGTGACTTATGACTAGACATTGGGGATAGGCTCTCCTTGGTATAGAGCAATTCCGAGGTGTAGGAGGATGTACATGATAATATCAAAATCTGGTTGAGACATGCCTCTGTTGAAACCCATTATTCAGCGTCATGTTCCAGGGCGGAAGAAAATGTAGAAGAGCTGTTAGGTGATCTAACCCTAAGTACAATAAACTGATTCCACACAAGTACAAATTTGTGCACTACTACTTTAGACGTATCCTCGAAAATTATACGCGCTGAACTAGAGAATCAGTGGGGGAGTCATTGATGATCAACAATGTTTTCTATCGCAAGTGAATTTATACATTGATTTAAGACTCTGTTACGTGTGCGCGTCTGGAGATACATATCATTGACCCAGCTGTACAGTGAGCTACCTGCAATTTCCAGGGCCTGACGCTAGGGCGCGCAGACGAATTGATAGTAGTCGAACTTCTGTCAAACCACCTGTGTTGGCCGCACGGCCATTACACATGTCTTGGTTGGCTCCGCCAGCCTGGCAGGCACTTCTACCTCCAGGTTGTAGCTACGGTCGCCGCAGTGGCACAACCGGTCGGTACAGTGTACGATCGGTTCGGGTCGCTCTCCCACACCACTGTACCGTCAGACTCCTTCTTGATGAACTTGTACTCGAAGGTCGTGCCAGCGGGCAAGGTAACTGTTGCCGTCCACAGGGGATTGGACGAGGTGTACGAGGAGGCCGAGAGCGCGATGGCGGAGGAGGTATCCCACGAGCTCAACTGACTGATCGAGCCGGTCAGGAAGATATTCTCCCCGTATGTTGTCGTGACCAGCTCGTTGAAAGTGACGGCTACGCTGGTAGCGGCGGTGCAGGTCGCGGAACTGGTCGTGCTGGAGGTTGTCGTCGTCGTGCTGCTAGTCTTGCTGGTCGTGCTGGTCGTGCTGCTGCTCGAAGATGAGGACGAGCTGGAGGAGCCGGAGCCTGACCCGCCGGTGATGGCGATATCGGCGCACCCAAGATAGACCTGCGCGGTCTGATAGCTGTTCCACCTCCAGCGCAGCAAGGTATGGTCGGACGAGTAGTTGGGCAGCTAGACCATCGCGAGAGTTAATCTGTGGGTACCGGAAATATTGCTCGTCAGCCACCTACCTTGATCTTCTTGGTCACGGTGTATCCGCCTGCAATGGTGGTGGTGCACGAGTTCAGCGCCGCTCCGTCCACCCCCCCACAGCCACGGTTGGTGTCCGCGTTGAAAGCATTGCATGTAAACCAGTCGTTGCGGTAGCAGGCCTGGTCCGACGTGCAGTCGGGGTTGTAGCCACAGGTCTGGCCGCTCACGTCGGTACATTTCAGCTCGCCCGCAAGGAAGCAGTCCTCAGCAGCTTGCTTTTCATCATTGGTCGGCAGATAATCCGGATCAAGGAAGAGGTCGACAAGCGTTTGATTCGTGCAGATACCGTAGGTGAACATGCCGCCGTGGTCACCGTTGTGGTCGACACACCATTGCACTTCGATAGTGTCGCCAGCCGTGTAGGTCGCGACCACCGAGTTGCCCCAGTTGTCGCTGGGCTGGTTGTAGTCGACGCTCACCCTGGCATTGTAGCCGCAGGGACCAGAACGGCCAACCTGGGCCTCCTCGAGATCCGGCCATGCGGTGACAGGTTCAAGGATAGCACACTCGGGGCATGTATCGATACCAGCCTATGTTCCGGTCACTCACTATAAGGCACAAAATTCTAGGGGAGCGCGTTATACCTCAAACCCTAGTCGGGTTCTGCTAGATGGGATGGTAAGGTAGCCATGGCCAGCCACGGAGGTCAGCAGTCCGGCGAGGGTGAAGATAGAAGAACTCTTCATGATTGTGGTGTTTTTGAGCTGGCTGCTGGGGCGTCGAGAGAATCCCCGAAGAATGATGGTGTTTTATAAGTATATTGTTCCTCGCTTGGAGTCACCCACATCCCGATTCGGCACGGGTCTTGGCCGCTATTAGTCGGTTCTTGGAAGTCTTGGTAAAGGACATACCGGCAAATCAGGTCTTCTGCAGGTTCGCTACCCCGATATTTGACCGAAAGCAAGGCTGCTGAAGAATGCACACTCGGGTCTTGGCACCAGTTGTCTCTGTCGATGATCGGGCCAACAAGCCTAAGCGAGGTGAAGTACGTATTCAGGTACAGTACAATGAAGCATGTCATGGCAGGCATGTGCATCCAGGATAAGCGAGAATTAACTTAACTAGTTTCTGCATGGCGTTGTCACGTACCGACACGCTAGTTAGCTTCGGGTTCAGCCGCCGGCAACCATGGAATGGAATGAATGCTCTACCCCTCACTGCACTCACACTCATTCACTCACCTCCCTTCCTGCCCTGCTTTCCGATAGCCCTAACTCAACTGAAAATTATCGATTCATGGCCCAACCAGAACACTTCAATTACCTTTGGGATCAGGCCAAGGCGCGCTACAGGTCCGTCACAGACCATGACCTCGACAACCCCGCATTTCCCAGTCCCGCCTCAGCTGACGACTTGCTCGCTCTCCTGGACGCGAGAAATACCGATTTCTTATCGTTCCGAGAGAAGCGATCTGTGCTGTTCCATAACCTCAGCACACTGTGTCAACCGATCGAATTGCTCACCAATGTCGTCTCCGCGGGGACCTCGGTGGTATTCCCGCCCAGCTCCGCATGTTTTGCCGCTTTGACGTTGTTGATCGATGCTGCCCGCGGCGTCTCGTCGCTCTATGATTCTATAATCGGTCTCATCGAGACCCTCAAGGTCTTCACCTGATTCCCCAAAGATACGTCAAATGGAGATCTGACAGGAGCCAGCGCAACAGGATTTTCTCGCGCGACTCAAGATCTACGCCGTGAATCAGGCGACACCCGAGCTCCGCAGCATGCTGGTGAATATTCTCATGATTCTGCTGGAAGTCTTCGGTCGCTCGGCGAGGATCATCCGGGGCGGGTCACTGGGTCGCACTTTGGCCTTTGCGAAGAACGCGATCTTGGGTCGCGATGAGAAGCTGCAGAGCCTCCTCAACCAGCTGGAGAAGCTGTGCCAAAGTGAAAACCGGCTGGTCGCGGCAGAGACGTGGGCGGAGACGAAGCGCACCGCGCATCAGATGGACCAGGTCAGCGATGGCTTGGAGACGTTAGTCCTGGGACAGGAGAGTTTCCGCAAGGAGTTCCGACAAGAAATGCACAAGATTAGGGAGACGGTGGCGACGGAGCCAGCCAGGGGAGGGAGGCCGGCGATAGCAATTCGAGAGATTCTCAAGCCCTCGGTGCATCCAGTCGATGCATATCAAACTCTGGCAAAGAAGAGGGTGTCAGGAACGGCAGACTGGATCCTCGACGAACCATTCTTCAGACAGTGGGTGGCTGATGGGGTGCAGACGCCGCTTCTGGCCGTTGTCGGTAGCCCAGGGAGCGGGAAGTCAGTCCTCTCGCAGCGCGTAATCTCCTACTTGACCGAGTTGCAGGCCGAGAGAGGAGATAGAAGTGACTCCATCGCGTATTTCTTCTTCAGTAATAGCGACACCGAAACTAAGTCGTTCAATCAGGCGCTCCGGGATTGCGCTCACCAGGTTTCCCAAAATAATGCAGCGTATAAAGCATATCTTGAAGCCAACCTCAGCTCTCCAGACGACATCAAGACTATCCGCAGTGCATGGAGGTTGTTATACTCTCAGTACTATGGGTCGCAGCAAAGAGCAGGCAGCTGGTTGATTCTTGTCCTGGATGGTCTGGACGAAGCTTTTCAGGCGGATCGGGAGCAGTTCTTCGAACTGCTGTCAGATCTCCTTTCCGGGAGTGGTAAGTACTTGCAAAAGCTGGTTCTCTCCCCTGCAACTGACCAGGCGCAGCCTCTCAAGTCAAGATTCTTCTAGTTGGAAGGCCTGAGATCTACGCAGAGCTCAGCGATGCGATCGGCCCCATACCATGCATCCAGGTTGATGCAGCGAAGAATTCTGCTGACATCCGAGCATTAATTGAAACCACCATGCAACGAACCCGTGTCTTCAGTCGTATTCCCCGAGACCTTTCTGCATCAATCCAGGACCAACTCATTGAAAAGTCCCAAGGGATGTTTCTGTGGGCTGACTTGATGCTGCGCGAGTTGAGCCGCAAGACCAGAGCGAGCAGCATGCTGGAGAGCCTACAACGAGCGCCAAAGGGACTGGACGAGATGCTCGAGCATGTCCTGCGGGGCTTCAGCGCGAAGCTCGACCCTGAAGAAGCGGAGAATCTGAACACGATGCTGGCATGGCTCGCCTGCTCGGACGTTCCGCTCAGCTTGCGTCAGTTGGACTACATTCTGCAGTACGATTCCACAGGCGGAGATGGAGTCTTTGACCTCGAAACCATGCTCCGAGTACAATACGCTTCGTTCTTTCTGCTCCTTCGGGACGATGGCCTGACTACAGCTGACCTTCAGGGGGCGGAAGTCGCCGCCTACCTGGCCGAGCGTCGGACGAGCGATGATCTCCTCGTATTCCAGTCGAACAAGGAGACCACCCGTGTCGTATTCCGTCACGCGTCGATCGGCGAATACCTCCGCAATGCCGAATACAGGAAAGTGTGCGATGGCCCTAGTTCTGTGTCGGTTGGTGTGAATATTATCGAGGCGCAGACCCATATTCTGATACAGTGCCTGAAACTGTTCCAAGAGGGCTTTGCGGAGGAAGAGAACAAAGACGGACGGGTTTCGCTTATCATCCACGCGCAGAGTCAGTGGCTAAATTATTCGAGGCAGCTGATCAGCAACGACCAGCTTGATCCACACAGCAAGACCGAGATGAGATCTCTGTTCCTCAGACTATTGTCGGCTCCGGACTGCGTGCATTGGCTGAACCCGGATGACTGGGAGTTCTTCGCTTCCGGGGATTACCACCTCATCGAAAGTTTCTTGGATGGTCCGATGTGTTCAGTCGACCAGGGCGATGACGAGATCACAAGATGGCTGGAATCGTGTTGCCAAAAGCCGGGCGGCTTCTTCTCAGCCATGGCCGAATATGCAGCTGAGGGCTGGCTAAAGGGGAACGCCTGGTCTGCCTCGGAGTGTTTCCGTCTCGTATGGGCGGTTAAAATCATCTCTGAAGACGGCGATGTAGATATTGTGCGTGAGACACCCATTACAGAAACCGTGCTTGAGGTCGCTCGATGGACGAAGCTGGAAGAGGACGCCTTGTGGTACGAACGGGTCGGGAACTGCCTCTCCAATTTCGGGCACCTGGACGATGCAAAACATTACGCGGAAATGTCGCTAAACCTGCAACCAAAATCAGCCGCTGCAAGTCTGGACATTGCTCGAATATACCTGAAACAACACAAGCGCGGTGAAGCAATCCGAATCTACCGTGAAACCGAGAAACTGTACACAAAGTCGCTGCTAGAACAACAGGAGCCTGACCACGAGGATTCCGATCTTGACATGATGGTGTCGCCCTACAGCCTGTCGAGATTGCGATTGACTCTGTCGGAGTTGTACTTTGAACAAGGCGACTGTCTCGAGGCCGCACAGTGGCTCCACTCGTGCTTACAACTAGAATCATACAGCATTCGCATCCGAAAACTTGCTGAAGCGTTGATTTACCGACTAAGCATGCCCCCATACGGCAATGATGCGGAAATTATGTCCTTGTTGAGGTCGATGGATCGGAAGCCTGAGAACCATACCGAGACGATTCTAGACGATTGTCTCATTCACTATAAACGGGCGGATGGTCGCTTTCTCGAGGCCTGTGCGACTGCCGCCGATGCCACAGACGCCTTGGAATGGCTGGCCGATCGATATCGACACGCAAGAGCAGCTGCATTGGAAGACTTGCGGTCAACCGTTGTCGTTTGTCTTGACGTCTGCCTGGCCCATCTCTATGGTAGATTCATGAACGAATTTGACAAGGCCAAGGCCCTCTGGAGACAAATTCTGAGTCTGCCTCGGGTGGAAATGGACGGTCACTGGGAGATGACCCAGTCGAGATCGGTCGCAGAGTCATCCTATGCATACCAACTCTACATGGACGCTTTGAAGGACCCTGATAATACTGGATCCTTTTTGCACGAAGTCACCGATCTCGCTAGATGGTTGCTGGAGGTAGCCCTCAACCGCGACACAACTATCGCGAACCAAGCTGGTCTCTATCTAGGGCGTTGGCACCTGGATAATGGAGACACGGACCAGGCAAGACCATATTTCCGTGGTTATATCAAGATTTCCCTCGCGCGTCTCCAGGATATTGACCCTGCTTGGAGAGCAGATGCACTCAACAAGCTTTTCACAATCCTGGCCGCGGCAGATGACGATGCCAACGCTATTTCTCTGTTTCATGCAATCCGTGATGCACCACAGGACAGCCGTGATTCCACCCTTCCAGATGACTGGCTTCTTCCGTGGGCATGGTGCTGCGATGTCTGCAAGCAGGAGTATGACAGTTCCGCTCCCTGCAGTAAGTGTCGGGTGTGCGCAGCAGATATTTGTCCGGGATGCTTCGCGTCGGCGCAGCAAGGTACAGCGAGTGCTCGGGTTTGCGCCCCGAATCATTCCTGGCTTTCTGTCCCATCTCCATCAGTCCTTCCTGAGCAGGGCTTTATCATTGTGAAGGGCTCTCCGATGCGTATTGATACTTTTCTCGTGGAGCTGGGTCGATCCTGGGAGTGAATAGGCCCTCTCCTCACGCAAAAAGAAAACATGAACTGAAACAGGGCGTAACCGGGACGTTTGCTTGGATGAGCCTCGGCAGTCGCCTGAGGGTTTCGACTGGCTTGCTATCTGCATTGTTAGCTTTTCATCATTCGCAGTATCAATCAGACACCCGTCTTTGTCGCTTATAGTTATCTGTGCAATTGCTGTCACTATATATCGGCTGATTCTAAGCCCTCGCACCTAGCCACTTGTGGAGACTCGAATGCGTTGTGTGGAATGCTCAACTCATAATCCTGGGCCTATCTATCACATGCCAATCTACAAAACACAAGTCCTCTTATCTCTGGTATAATTCCCCCAGCAATAAGCCTGTTTGAGGAAAAGTGTCGACCAAAAGTATTGTGGAGAATGATGCCGCTGACCGTTTGTCCGCATGCACTGCAGCGGGGCGCCATTGCCGGATTTGGGGGTGGTTTGCGAGGCGGGAAGCCCTAACTTCTCCGGTGAACTTCTCGACTGGTCGGCAGCTTTGTATCTCCGCGGCAAAAGACGAAGAAAAGATATAGAATGTTGTCTATTTTCATTATTCCTGCTATTGACTTCATTGATTATATCCAGCAGCGGATGGGGTTTCTGACAATTCAATCTTGATAACATCTTATTTTATCAGATCATGACAGGGTAGTCAAACACCGGCCTTCCTGGTAGTTACTGCTGCTAGTCTGATAACGAAGAGCTGCAGCTCGGAATTGACCCCTCCAACGCTAGTAATGCCACGGTCAAATGTCTCCGCTAATCCAGCAAAGCCTTCGCCCCAGGCTTTTTAAGCAGCGGCCCCTCCCCCTTGCGCTTCCAGTTTTAACCGTAGGCTGCAAAGACCTCCACTGGTCCACCACGCTCTAGTCACAATGAGTCGCCTCACGTCCTTTGTCCTTTTGCTAGCGACCATCTCCAACATCACCGCCTTTGCGCTTGGAGCAGCCACCTTGGCAGACTACCTCAACCAACGCAGCTACCTCCTGGGTCTCGTCCCCAAAACCGAGGTCCACGACAGCGCTTATATCGGGGCTGCTAGTTACAACATATGCTCGAGCTTTCTGTCCGCCTTGATCCTTCTCATCGTGCTCATCGTTCAAGTGCTCCGGCGCACCATTGGCTACAAATTCCTGATCGTCGGTGCTATCATTCCAAGTCTCATCGGCTTTGTGAACGCGCTCACCTTGACCATTATCACGGCGACGAAGGTGGTGTCGTTCGGGGACAGTGTCGGGCCGCGCGTGACTACCTACTTGGATGAGGCTGCCGATAGCGACGGGGTTCCCTTGGAATATCGAAAGGATGCACTGTCCATCGCGGCTGTTGTGATTGCATGGCTTGGGTGGGCCTTTTCTGTGGTTGGGTGAGTTCTCGCGCCTGTTTGTAGGGGTGTGATTGCTGATCGCAGTAGATGCGTGTTGTTACTCAAGACTTGGCAGAGGGAACTCGTGAAGCCGGCTTCGTTAGGATCTCGGGATGAGAAAGCTGCTTAGTCTGAGGATGGCAGTGAACATGGTCGAGCTTGAAGTAAGAGATTGCCAGAGCCAATTAGTGTCGGGGCGCGGATTCTGGTTGGCTGTCCACGGGGGAATCGTTCTTTCGTGCGCCTCCGGCAGTGGAAATGGCCCTCGGAATTACGCACGTTGCTCGGTGTTGAGAACATGTTCCTAGGCAGGATTCACGAGAGGCTATTATGTCGTCGCTGTGATGGTGAAACTGTTTTTATCTACCTTGGCCGAGAGGCCGGGGTTTACTTGACGTTTGATGTCCGTAACTCAGTCAAGAAGCAGAAGTTCCTGGCTCAACATTGTCACTGACAAATCTTGTCATTTCTCACTGAGCCTAGCGGAGACTAATAAATTAAATGAGTGAACTATCTGGTGACTTCATCATGTCACGGGTGTCAACACCATCGGCGGTTTCGGGTGGCTTATGTATAGCTTGCATCAACCTGACAAATCCGCCGTATCTGACTCTCATTATGAAGTTGAGGCTCGCCGTATGGCATGCGATTGATGTAGGGTCCAGAAGCTGCGATGTTCTGAGTCCGGACTAGGGAGCCCATGCGAGCACTGTCTGAAGACGGGGCCCGAGTTTACGAGCAGTATATCTCATTACAGGTGCACGCTCGATCAGCCATCGGTGCTCGGAGATGTGTTGTCTCGGATCTATGAACCTAGTCAACCGCTTTCCACTAAGGCGAAGCTGTCGCAATCATTCCCGGAGCAAGGAGAGTGTGAGTCACCGGTGACAATCCATCGGTTCGTGGCAACTAGCCAGACCAGTCAGAAGCAGCTGCCCGCCTCGCTTAGAACCTCTAACCAGACACCGGAATCTGCAAGCCCCTCGACGATAGAGTATAGGACACAGCCTTTAAACGACTTTGCGGTGGAGCTGAGACGTAACGGGGCCAGGCGATGCCAGCGTTCAGCACGGCCACGGCCACGTCCACGATGCGGATGTTCGCTTTTGCAAGTAGGGTCGGGACGGCTTTGTCCGAAGTGACATCGCTCAGGTCGAGGGGCAAAACGAGGACTTTTGTGTTCTGCCCACGCAACGATGCCGAGGTTGCTATGCCGCCTAGTATCTTGCATTTCGCTTCTTGGAGGATTCAACTCCTTGCCTCGCAGCCTTTGGGCCGGCCAATATACGAGGCTGCCTCGTTGTCCTCAGATTCGGCTGTCGGTCCGACGATTTCTAGTAGCTTTATCATGCGCAGGAACATTCATGGGTAGAAACAACAGTGACAACGGTTCCGCTATCATTGCGGTTCTTTTAGTCTGAGCAACGTGCGTTAGATGTAAGAAATGGCATTGCAGAAGACATTCTGCGGATCAACCCTCTCCTTCACCCTGCGCAACAACACAAGATCCTCCTCCTCAAAGGCCTTGCCACGGTCTACCTCCTCGCGTCGCATAAATGACAAGTACGATGCCGGAACGATATTTTTCCTCTCAGTGGTCAACAAAGCTCTCTGGAAATTCCTCCCCCACGCCAGGACTTCATCGAGGTTCTCCTCGCTCTCTGCAATGGCCAAGATCTCAAAGATCAAGTGGCCCTCGCGCGCGGCAAAGACCGCGTCTGCCTTGAACTGCGCAGAGACGGTGCCACCGCGCAGCTCATGCACCCCCCAGAATGTGTGAGGGTCACGTGGGATGCTCAGGGCGTATCTCACCATCACAGCCGCAACCTCGTCGGTGATGCTCTTCAGGTTGATGGTGTAGACGCCTCCGCGTGTTGAGGCCGGAGCGAACTGGGCTGCATCCGCGAGCCAGGTTGTCGGGGTTGTCGGCTGCACCGTCGTGGCCACGACCGGGGCGAGGGATGAGATCTTGTCCACCCAGCCTCGCCCTGCCTGCGTGTCCGCGGAAGCCCAAACGAAGAGAACCACCAAGGTCGGGTTTGGCGCTTTGATGATGGCTGGCTGGAGACTCAGCTGTGGCGGAATTCTCTCCTCTGCCTTGAGTGCCTCGTAGCCGTGGCTGAACTGCTGGATCGTGCTGCCAAGGTCATCGGAGTTGTATATGATGGTGCCTGCGAAGATCTATTGCTCGTCAGCCAGGGTTGATGAACGAACCGTCAATCCGAACCAGCGTCCGGTGCAGGCGTACCTGATTGAGCTTGTACGTCTTGACCGTGACCTCAACCACCACCCCGAACGCACCGCCAGCGCCCTTGATCGCCTTCAGCAGCTCCCCGTCCGCATCCACCACCTCCCCCGCTGCAGTGACAACCTTCGCCCCCACGATCTGGTCCACTCCCATCCCAAACACCGGGCAATACGGCCCGTACCCGCCGTACATTGCCCACCCCACGTAGCCCACGGTCGCGATCGTGCCGACGGGCGTCATATACCCATCCTGCTGCAGCGTAGTAACCACATCACCCTGCAGTGTCCCACCGCCAATCCTCGCGGTAGAAGTCTCCTGGTCCAAGCGCACCTGGTTGAGCAGACGCAGGTCGAGTACAACTGTTCCGTCCTTGATACCGCGGCCCCACATGTCATGCCCCCCAGCGCGGACTGTGAACTCGATGCCATGGGCAGCTAGGAAAGAGACAGCCTCTGCAACATCCTGGACTGTTGTGGGCCGAAGGACGGCGGAGGGAGAGGTGTTAGCGGGCTGAGTAAAGACGGTGCTATACTCAGAGAATTCAGAGGCAGAGGGGAGGACGCATCTAATGCCAGGATGCTCGGAGAGGAAGGCCGTGAGTTCGTCGACTGCCATTTTCGTGGGGCGATGGTTCTTCCCTCGTTTTCTTCTATTTGGGGAGTATACGAGTTGGAGTGAGGCCTCTTCCTGGAGTATGGGATTGATTATTTCAGAGTTTTTTTTTTCTTTTGCTTTTTCAATGGTGATTTCTATTTGCAAGGATGAGTTCTTGTAGGTGGCAGAAGTCCATCGCCCTTCACATGCTGCGAAGCTCAGCCCCTCCAAGCTGAGTAATCAGGCTGTCAGGGTTGACGAGCCAGCAAATCACAGCATTTCTCTGTTCTCCACAGGGTCTTCTATTTGTAGTTAAGTTTCCTGTTAGTTTTTCTACTAGTGGATGCAGTAGTAGCAACAGTCATCCATGATTATTTGAGGTCCGTAAATAACGGTAGGCTATTCTATGGCTCGAATGGACTAAGACAGTGAAAGTTATACTCTAATAATATTCTCCTCCTGGTTTTTTGGGGTAATACTGATAAGAGTCAGGGGTCGTGCATCCGAAGACCATGTACTATAATTCCACGTGGAGTGGAATTCGGGTCCAGGTAGATGGCATTGGCGCAATATCATGGTCCAAGACTCTTGCCAGTGCGTGTACAGACAAGGTAGTGAGATGGGAAGTCAGACGCATGGTTCAGATGCTGTGAAGCGTGGTGAAGGGGTCACATAAGCTGGCAACTGGCGCCCGTGCATACTCCACACCAAATCCCGAATGGCTGACGTGTTTAGAGGCAACACGACTGAGTATTTGACTCCTCTGCGCTGAACCCTAGCGCTCGCTGGCTTTATGACGTGCCGAGAAGAGAAGCAGCAGAGGAGTCTCCGAATGCTGCCAGATCTTTGCCACCAACTTCACAGATTGCCGGGCTGAGTCTAAGGGTCACTCACTCAACCTCCCTGATCTGATCCCATCCCCTTTGGTTGCGTCTTTTAGCTCTGACTGTACTGTAAAGGGTAAACGGAGGGAATTTCCCAGTGGGCCACTGGCCTCATACTCCACGCACTCGGGTATCGGGCCCATTCAATCGGATCGATCCGATCCGATCCGATCGCTACGCTCACTGACTTGTCAGGCAGTCAGAAGCTACCTGTATTCATATCAGACCTTCTCCTAGTCCAAACCTAGCCGTTTATGCTTGATCGGGCCATGCTCCAACAATTGCAGCCTAATGACCACCTTCTTTATGGCACGGACTTCCTGTTCACGCATACAGCTGGTCCTCATGCATAAAATAGCATTATGCAGACTATATACACCTCCATCATGCTGATCATTTCCATCATCCCATAAGGTTCGTGCTTTCGTTCCTTGCGGGGCACGACAGGAAAATGTGCATCTAATGCTCTTTAGCTTTAAGATGGAGTGCATGACTCCTGAGCGTAACGGCGAAGATGCTCGGAAGATGCTCGGAAGATGATTGCGAGGAGGACTTGGTCGGGCTCTTCATTTGGTGCCAGCACAGGAGCCAGCGCGTGGAATAGTATGCAGATCGATCCTAGCCACATCTTTGAGCCCCACTCGGAATTGCTAGCTGCGATTTCTTCAGCAAAAGTCAGGGAAAGGATTGACGGAGGGGTTTGGTGGCTACTTCCTGAGCGGAATCTATAAAGGCACAATCAAGGAGTGCTCAAGGCATCACTTTCCATCCCGCGGACCGCGAAACACCTCTCATACTCCTGCTTTTCAAATCCCCCAACACTCTCACTCGTCATTCAATACCCAAGCTTGACCATGGGTAACTGGCAAATGCGCCACAATGTCCCCTCGGACGACGACTCAGAGACCTACGAGAAGCGGCTATACCAGAGCCTGTATCTCAATGGTTGCCAGGCGCTGACCATGGAACTGGACAAGATCGATTGAACGAGGGCTCTGCTTTTGGAGCTTGGATCTTAGACAGTGTACCGCACGAGATTTATTCAAAATCCAGATAACAATATCCGGCGAACGCCCCTGTAATCCTTTTCTAAAGACTGGATAGCCGTGATGCACGCAGTGCCAATGCTATCCGCCAAATAAGCGCTCTCAATTGACTTTGCGCTGATGTTCACCTTGGCCAAAGCCCGGACCCTCAGCTTCGGCGCAGCGGTCGCCTCCGGCTTCCGGGCAGTCTTGTTTGCTGGCTGCCATCCTATACTACACATACAGGATATGGTAGTTGAATGCCCGACGGGGTTTGATTGACAAAGCCGATCGGGCTTATGACGGGATTCGCACAGAACCCGCATAGACCCCGATGCTCATTCCCGGTCGACTCCACCCTGTTGGCTCATCTATCAGATTAGCCAGGTACAGTACGTCACCCGCTGTCTCTCCGCAGCGGGGGGGGGGGGGGCTGTGTGATGCGTGTTTCCCCGCTCTTGATGCCCAAAAATAGGACCGATGTCACGCCAGATAAATAGAAGAAGCGACCGAAGGGAGTCTGTCTTTGACGGAACGCTGAGATGAGAGCTTATCACCTGTTCAGGATAGCTTATACGTAGATCTAAAAATCATGCCCATCGCCATGAGAGATACATCTTCTCCCGCTGATGACCTCATCATCTGTATAGCGCTCAAGAAAGGTGGATATCAGGAATGTTCAATTAGAAATGGCTTTTCTATAGTCTAAAAGGGGTATATTCTAAGATCTAGTATGCAATGCATCGCAAAAAAGACTCAAATGAAAGAGGACTAATGGACAACCCCATCCAACACCCAACACAGACCTTCTACTTCAACCATCAATCAAGACCTTCACAAGACCCTCAGAGCCGAAGACCAATCTACCCCCCGAACACCCTCCCCTCTGACCAAGCGCGCAACCTCCCGCCCCAATACCAAAAGCCCACCGGCACCGGCACCAACACTACACAAACCGCCCCGAGCACCGTCGTCGCCTCCGCCACCCCCAACCCGTGCAGCATCTGGGTCGCGAACAGCGGAAACGACGCCGCAAACACACTGCGCATGGCGCCGTTCACCCCCAGCGCACTGTTGGCCATCGCCGTGTAACAGTCCACGATGTAGCTAAAACCCTGGATGAAGAGCAGGTACATCCCGCACCCGATGAACAGATTCGAGCAGACGGAGCTCGCCCAGTAGATGGCCGGGCTGGCCGTCCAGGCGTACCAGAACATGCCCACGGGAATAAAGATCGCGCCGAGGATCATCGGCGGCAGGCGGGATTCCGGGATGAATTGGCCGGTGGACGGGTCGTGGCAGTGGTGCCGGAAGTAGAGGGCGTTGTAGAGGATCATGGCAAGGGCGCCGAGGGCGACACCCACGTTGATGCCCAGCAGCGGGAGGGTGTTGAGCCCCGTGCGCCAGCCGCGGAGGTCGCCGTAGGTGTAGGGGTAGGATTGGTAGAAGAGGTAGAGGATGCCGTAGAGGATGGATTGGTAGAGGGTTAGGAGGAAGAGGATGGGTTGCGTGGAGATGAGCCCTGGTTTTCATCGGTGTTAGGGTTGTGGTGTTGTGGAGGGTCTAGGGGGACGTACAGAATGGTCGGATGAGGTAGAGTCTCGCGACCTGCGCGAGGCTCAAGCTCTCCTTCTCGGGGACATCCAATGGCTTGTCGATGCTGGGACTTTCGACATCCTTCTGCTCAGCTGATGCTGCTGCTGCTGCTCTGTCGAGGACGATCGGGGGATAGGTCTCCGGGAACAGCAGCACAGCGATGAGCGACAACCCCAGCCCGCAGATGATGATCACCCACATCGTCCACCGCCAGTGCAGCGAGGACGCCACGATGAAGCCGCCGAATACGGGGCCGAACGTCGGGCCCGAGAACATGAGCCCGACGGCGATCGCCATCGCGGTGCCCCGCTGCGCCGTAGCGAAGCAATCGCTCACAACTCCTCCCATCACCGCGACAGGCGAGATCCCGAACAAGCCGGCGAAGAAGCGCCCGAGGAGGATGGTGGTGATGTTGGTGCTGAGGGCGGGCATCAGCTCGAAAAGCGAGGAGACGGTGACGCCGATGATCAGCGGCCATTTGCGGCCGAACTTCTCGGACAAAGGTCCGAAGGTGAGGAAGCCGAAGATGTAGCCCTAAGTTCCGGTAAGTTTCCCGCACGCATCGATATATTGCTGGAGCAAAATCATACCACGAGGAATAATGTTGTCGTGAGGATAGCGACTTCTTGGTCGATGTTGAATTGTTGCATTATCTCTTTTTGCCCCGGACTCAAGATACTGCTGGCCGCCGTACCGAGGATGTTCAGGAGGCCAAGGATGATGATCGTCCGGACCTTCTTGGCCATGGCCCAATTCTGAGGGTGATCGGGGTCGACATGATCAGACTTTGCCAAAGCGGTGTCGAATCCATCTGTGCCCTTCTCAACCACGTCAATCGCCGTGGGAAGACTCATTTGATGCTGATAGTAGGTATGTATAGGAGCGATCACGGCACGTGACCTGCAACTCTCCACAAAAGAAAATGCAAATCAAATCGATCAGAATGCATGGACCTGATTGGTCGATTGATTATCCCTGCTAGATCCAAGTCACAATGCAGATCACCAGCATCTAATTTGTCCTACACCGACAGCACGCTTGCATACACCACTTGAAACAGGCCTCGACCCATCCCTGTCGTTGAGACATTGAGGGCGTATATATTCTGGACCACGAGCATTTCTACCCCAATTCTACACTGAAAAATTGCCTGACTCAATGGTTGCCCGTGAGGGGGAGATACAATCCTGTGAGGGGAAGAGCGAAAAATTTTCCATGGCGGGCTGGGACCGTGGCGGCTCGGTCTGCTTTATTCAGTGTGAAGGAGACCAGAAGTGGGGCGCCAATGAGGGGGAGAACCGACAACGTGGGTTTTGATGGGGGGAATTTAAGTGTGCGTTGTGCCATCCGCCTGGGTCAGGACAAAAGCCGCGAGGGGGCGAGGGGGGAACGAGGGGGAGAATTCGGCCACCCGATCAAATCCCGAGATAGAGCCACGCCAAGCCTTGTGGCGGAGATGTATCGGCGATCCATCGGTCGTGTCATCCCGTTGGTTATCCAATTGTATACATGCTTTGAGAGGTTGTTGTGTACTTTTTACAAACCAAGAGGAGAATTGGGTTTGCGGCTGGAGTGGATTGGCAGCTGCAGATCATCTCATTGAGTGGACCCGATTCTGCTATTATCCATTCGGGGAGTTTAGGTGCAATGCGCTACCCTAGGGAGCATTGACCTGGATTGTGCTGCAAAGCATAATGCTGTGGAGATCTCCTGTAAAGGTATAGGGTGCAACAGAGACTAAAGCTAATATCGCGGATAGATCCGTCGATCACGCAGGGCATAGTAGTGGCACCTGAAGTTATCCTGAAATGTCTTGTCCAGTCCATTGGTCATCTATCCTTTACTGGGATAGTCACCACCCTACCTGCTCAGACAAGAAACTCCTTCTGGAGTCAGTTGTTATGCAAAGAAGAATGCAGATTCTCTCTGTGCCATCAACAGACAGAGACAAGGACAATTCAGGACCAACAGAACCGCCGTCAAACAGCTTATCGTCCTTTCAAACCAAATGAAAAGCTCACTCAAGCGACTAACGATCAAAAGAATCTCCCTCTATTGTGATTCAACTCAGAGATAAACTCAGTCAAGCATGTCCCTACTCACAAAGCCACGACACTTATAAGAATCATGAGGTTTGCTTGCTAAAAGACGGGGCAGAGTCACAAGTACTGGCAGCATCGCTCAACCAACACATCATCTCAGCCACCGCAACACAAACCAAGCACCATGGACTCGACCGCGCCCCGTCGCAGTGAGCCCTACACCCACGCCTGGCTGGCATCCACGGAAGCCAAGACATCCTACATCCTAGACACCTTGCACATCCCGCACGTCATCTGGGGCGACGCCGTCTTCGGCTACCTGGGCCTGCAGCTAACGATCACCAGTTCAGACTACGTGATCGAAGACGAGGGTTTCGCCGTCGCCGTAGAAACCCTGTCCACCTTCCCCGAAGGACTGGACTTCTGCTGCCAGGCCCCCGACCCTACCGACATCACCAGCACGAACACCTCGCCCCCCTGCCCCTGGCACCCGCACCCCCGCCCCAAAGGCACCCTCCTGCCAGACGCGCACTTCATCGTCAACGACAAGCACCACCTGCACCTGTACCGCAAATCCCGACTCCTGTGGTGGATGCCGCGGCTGCAGGAACCCCGCAACGAGGAGGAATCCCTGTTCATGTGCACCTGCGACCCGCGCCTGCCCCCGCCGCGGGCCACGGAGCACCGCGGCGGACCGGGACGGGGGCCCGCGGACCTGGCCGCGACGCACCACCCGGTGCCCATGCTGAAGCCGCACGTCTACGCGGCGGCGCTGGTGTTCCTGGCGGTCCGGAATGTCGCGCACGAGATCGAGGCGCACTGGGACACCGAGCTGGACAAGATGGCCGCGGCGATGGCCCCGTGCCCGCTGTACCGGCAGCAGGATGTCCCGGATGTGTTCTTGGAGTTCGTGGCGCGCAGGGAGGATACGTATGTCTCGTTGACGATCTTCACGGCGCTGTGGCGGCGGTTGCAAGAGTGGATGCCCCCGGCGGAGGGGGAGCCCGTCAAGGATTATAGGCGGCGGCGCCGGTGGTTGGAGAAGTGGAAGGGTTGAGTTGCCCTGTTGGTTGGGGCGGTTTGACACCGGGTTTGGTAGAATTAAGAACCGATTTCTTGAGTGCGTTGCATTTTCTGGCGTAATGCTTTAACTAGTTTAGTAAGATCTATGATGGGAATCTGGTTTCTAAATTATCATTCTTCCTCTTTTTGCCCTTTTTCTTCTTCTTTTCTGAGGCTTTTATGTATTGGGCTTATCTTTCGGTTCGACGATTAATTTATTTTCACGTGTGTCTGCTAGCTGTAATCTGACACGTAGTTACGATTCTCTGTAAATCACCCAGCAAGATGTTTCTTGCGTAATAATGGCCGTCTTCATGAGATCACTCTAATGACAGAAAATTCTTATCTAAATCCTACCGACACTTCCTCCATCCGACACACCAGTAAAAACACCCTCAGCCTTAAGAGGGGTCCGGTCTGCACGGAACGTGCTTAGTTAAAACAACACCCTCAATACCGTCCCGTACCCCGCTTGTAATCCTGATACCACTCATACCGGAGCAGCCGACCAAACCTGTATCAGACCGGAAGAAGTGGAGCCCTAAGGCCGGGCTCCCTGTGTCGATTGGACCAGAAAAGTCGGTGCCTACGCGGCCAGCTGCGGACGCACCAATGGCAAGCTGCCACCCAGCCCTGTAAGGCTGAGGAGGGGGAGTTCCGTCGGTCGTCCTTTTCCAAGGTTCCAAGTTCTTGTTCGAGGGAGGTTGTTTGGGTAAACAAACGTGGTAAGCATGCCCCTTAACCTAGTGGTATTTTACTGGCGTGAGGGAAAGGCTGAGGTTAGGGGGTGGTCACGTCATATGTGCGGGTTTGGTTTCCCAATAGTCTCCGTAGGGAAATCGAGTTCTGCATCATGGATTTATTCTGACCATGGCCCTACAGCAAGCAGTTGTATTCATATTCGCTGATTTCGTAAGAAAAAAAAAGTCATGCAGTATATCTGAAGCCTATATATACCCAGCGAAAGTTGATCATATCGAAAACTCAATTCCCGGCTCATACGTCTGTCCCAGAAACCCACCCGCTAGCGAACACAAAACGCCAGCGTGAGGATAGCATACCTAGACAGAAACCACAAGTCAGCCACAACCACCACCACTCAAACAAACACAAATTTAGAAGGAAAACTTACATAGCGACCAACGCCACCCCATGCACAACGCTATACCTCCCCCCGCGCAGCACCCCGTTCACCAGCAGCACCGAAAAGAACAACACCACCACCTCAAACACATCAAACACCAGACTCATCGGTTTCGCCAGCGCCCACCCCAGCAGCACCAGCGCCGGCATCCCAAACAACCCCCCATGCACCACATTCTGCACCACGGCACACACCGCGCCATCGACCTCCTGGCTCGCCGCACTGCCGCAGACCATCGACACGCCGGTGGCGCCCGTGGTCGCGAGCGGGACGAGCGTAGCGGCTATCAGGGTCTTGCTGAGATGGGTTCGTGCCGCTGTGATGACCAGTGTGTCGGCGAGGAACTTGGAGCAGATGACTGCGGCCAGGGTGGCGAGAGTGAGGACTAGGGCCGGTTTCGCTTTGCTTGGTGTGCTGCGAGGTAGATCGTGGGCGGTGTCAGCGTCTGCATTTACCTCATCGGCATTTCCGGTACATTGTTGCCGCGGGAAGAGATGCCGGTGCGTTCCGAGCTGGAAATACAGGTATCCCGCGTACACGCCCAGCAACACCGCGGAAACGCCCCGCGAGAAGACCACAGTGCGGTCGCCGAGTTCGTAGGGGAAGCTCGTGGCCAGCACGGAGGGGAGCACGAGGACCGTGGATGTCGCGAGCAGGAGGGAGGAGAGGGTGTTGGTGGTGGGTTGGTTGAAGTAGAGGAGGTCGGTGCGGTAGGAGGCGGCGATCATGCTGCATCCCAGGATCTGTTGTAGTGCGTATGGTTAGGAACATAATGTAGAGGCGCGTTGACGGTCGGTGAGGGAGACGATGCTTACCAGCAGGATCTCGGACAGGATTGCCCCGATGGCCAGGCTTTGCGCCACGTAGATCTCCCGGCTGGCCACGGCCCAGGCTCCTAGCTGAAGCGATGGATTAGCTTGCTTTTGGTGAGGAGGCAGTAGTAGAGGATGGCTCACGCTCAACCCGACTGCTTTGCGGGGCACGGTGTTGATCAGTGCGCCCGTCCATTTGTTCGTGTGGGCTGTAAGCTGTTGCGAGGAGTCGGAGATGATAGCCGACAGGGCAACGATGGCGAAAAGGTTATAGATGAAGACGAGCACCGGGTTCCATTGGAGGTATCCAGCCACGAGAGCCAGCGGCAGGAAGCATACCGGTAGGTAAGCCCCAGATCGGACGGTCGTGGGCAGTTGGCGACGCGGTGCTTGGGGGTTGTGAGTAAGGGGGCGGCCGGGATCGGCTTTCGAGGTTGACGGGGAGTGTTTCTTGAGCAATGGGTCGAATTCGTCTCCCAGGGAGGGCTCATTGCCAACTGAAGAGGCCATGGCGATTTCTGCAGTGGCAGCCGATGGATTTGAAACAGTTCTAAGATGAAAAAGAGAAGAAGTGACTTAGTCAATGAAAGTCCGATCGAAGGTAGTTTACATAAGTTACCCTAACGACCCTGCCAGGTGGGTGGTGACAATACGGACCGTCACGGAACGGTAATTCGGGCGGGGATACTATTTTGGTCCAGGGCTGAATTAACCGTCGGTAAGGCCAACTGCCAACTGCCGTCACGGCCTGCCCTCCTCCGGATATCCGGCTGCTTGTGATGGAGTGGATTTGGCAGCCTCTGCAAGACACTCTCCATTTATTCAGCCATTTATTCTCCATGTTGCACCTCATACGCCGAATCTACGGACAGTCTTGCATAATCCGCAATCTCTGCTACTATGGCACCGGAGACGGTGAGGATGGCTGAAAGGAGGCAGGATGCAACTCAAGGCCGGAGGTCCGATAAGGCGACAGGCGACGGTGCTCAATCAATCAAGTCAACGAGAGTTGTCCACAGCCCTACTGCCTAGCGTCTTGGCAAGAGATGATCGGTGTCGGTCTTTCTCCAGTTTCCAGTTCTCCCACTTCTAATCAGACCAAGGGGGGGAGGTCATTCTTGTCCCACTGGGCTGCATCATCACCATCACCACCATCACCACCATCACCACCATCAGCCTCTTCTGCTCTTCATCCCTCCTCCAAGGTTTCCTCTCACTGTGCATCGCCCACCGACTCCGACCCGCTTAAGCCATACCCGATCCATCCGCCTCTAGAAGCTTAGACCCAGTTTAATCTCATCACCTTGACGTCCTAATCGCGCCTTTCCCCAGACACACCCCTCCCGCCCGGTCGAATCCCCTCGCACGACGGTCGGCTTCTCTTGCCCGAATCGCCCTCCCAACCCCACCATCCACACATCCAACCCCCCAAATAGATGGAAGAAATTTCCTCCACCTCGATAGCAAACACCTTCCGCAACCTCGCGAAACGATACCACACCCACAAGCAAACCGAGACGGCGAGCCAGGTGGAGGCGGTGGTGGACCAAGTGCTGCAGCAGGATCCGGATGACCCGAGTGCGGCTCTGGTGCGCTTCGGAGCCCTAGTTCTCACCTTTCTGGAGCAAGGGCAGTGGAGCGCGGCCGTCGACGTGGGCAATGTGGTCGTAGACACCCGAGGGGCGCTGCTGGGCCCGGACAACCCGGCCACTCTCACCGCCATGCATAACCTCGTCTCCGCCTACTGCGGCCAGGGCCGATGGAGCGAGGCCATCGAGCTGGGGCGGCGCGTGGTCGAGGCCCGCCAGGCAGTGCTGGGCACAGACAGTCCGCAGACCATGGCGTCCATGTCCAACCTGGCGTCGGCGTATCGCAACAAGGGCCACCTGCGACAGGCCGAGGCGCTGGAGAAGCAGCTGCTCGAGTTGAAGACGAAGACTCTGGGTCCCGACCACCCCTCCACGATGACCTCCATGAGCAACCTCGCGACGACGTACACGTACATGGGCCGCTACGACGACGCCGCCCGCCTCGAGCAGAGCGTCATTGAGCGCAGCGCGCGCGTGCTCGGCGCCCGCCACGGCTCCACCCTGACCTACAAGTCCAACCTGTCGGTCACCCTCCGGGAGCAGGGGCGGTTGGACGACGCCGAGAAGCTGGAGTCCGAGGTCCTGGACGCGAGGATCGCGAGTCTGGGCGTCCAGCACCCGCTGTGTCTCACGTCGATGGCCAACCTGGCCGCCATCTATCGGGATCTGGGCCGGTTCGAGGAGGCGGAGCAGCTGGAGGCGCAGGTGGTGGAGCGGAGCCAGGATGGGCTGGGCGGCGACCATCCGCAGACGTTCATGGCCATGGTCAACCTGGCGACCACCTGGCGGTTGCAGGGACGACTGGACGAGGCGGCCGGTCTTGGGGCGCGGGCTGTCGCCGCTATGAAGCAGCAGCTGGGTGATTTACATCCGCTTTGTCTGACGGCCATGGCGGAGTTGGGGTTGACCTTCCAGAGCCAGGGACGCACGCGGGAGGCAGAAGGATTGACGGCGCAGGCGTTGCGGGGCATGCAGAAGGCGCTGGGAGACAGCCATCCCCATTGCCTGACGACTGTGGCCAATTTAGGGGCGATCTATCAGTCGCAGGGCCGGTGGAAAGAGGCTGAGGCCTTGGCGGAGCGGGCAGCGCGCGGCCGCGAGAAGGTCCTCGGCAAATCCCATCCGCTTACCCTGGCGTCCTTGCAGGATCTTGTCCGGGTGTGTCAGGTGCTAGCTGCAGATAGGACGATGGACACACGCGTGAGGGTTCCGGGTTGAGGGGTATTGGGGATTGACGGCGTTATCCTGCGTTATCTGACGAGACATGATTCCATATTTGGAGGGGCTTAGTTAGCGATTGATTTGAGTGAACACTGCGTTAACGAAGACAGCAAGTATAGTCATCAAACTTGGGAGTATTCCAATGCAATATCAGTGAGGCATTATGATCGAACGAGCCTGTGTGCGGGATCATTGGTTTTTCAACTAATAAATACACCCCTCTCAAAGTCGAGGTTTTCAGCATGTATTAGCTCTAGAACTACCACAGGTATCCATGTAGTAAGGTACTATCAAATAAACAATAACTGGTTTAATGAGCCATTCGCAGTTTCACTGTATAAATTGCTGATACTTAGACATGCATGGCTTAATCTCTGAGACAGGCATATGACTACTGGCAGAATCAACCAGATACCTATTTCCTAGCCGGGCGCGCCCGAAAGCCCCCGGGGGGGGGGGCGGCATGTACTGTAGGTCCTCTCGGATGATTTGGATTGCTCCGGCCGCGGCGACGCCCCCGGCGTACCGGGGACACACGCGCGGGCACGCTGGCAAACAGCGGAACTCGCACGGCGGCTCCCCCCTGGAATCTGAACGGAAGCGCTGGCCAGCGGCCAATCATCCACAGACCCCAGCGGTGCCGGGGGCCCGAGGGCCCCCGGGCTTCGGGTGCCTTGGGCGAGGCCTCGCCCTCTCGGGGGGGTCGACCATCGCCCGCAGCGGGCGGTTGCCACCGCGCCCGGCGGTGGTCAGATTTCCTGGTCCCCGGTACGCCGGGGGCGTCGCCGCGGCCGGAGCAATCCAAATCATCCGAGAGGACCTACAGTACATGCCGCCCCCCCCCCGGGGGCTTTCGGGCGCGCCCGGCTAGGAAATAGGTATCTGGTTGATTCTGCCAGTAGTCATATGCTTGTCTATAGGAACAGAATTTTCAACGTTGAAGCAGGATTGTGGCTGAGGCCAGTTAAGGGCTGTACTGCCTCCTTGCCAAGACTTGATGCCGCAGTAGTGTTGGAACCTATGCGGGGTTGACCACATGCCAGTTGACTCTGCATTCGATGACTATGTACAGTACAAAATCTATCAAGGACGTGGATAAGTTGCGGATTCTGACTACGTGAGGCTATCTCAGTGGAAGTGTCCACATGCGTGGCGGGCGGTGGGAAGCCCCGGCTATCGGAGGCCTCAGGACCGCCGACAAAATTACTACTGAAAGCAACGTTTCCATCTCAGAATTATATTATCTATTAGGCTAAGATAGAAGCTAACTCAACACACTTCTGCTTCGAACCAGCAGATACCATCGGATTCGCTTCACAGGAACACGAACCCCTCCGAAAAGCCAACGGAACGGTTGTAACCGTTTACAGGTTACCCTGACCGGCGCTGGTAGCAGGGTCGGTGCTGGCAGCACTGGGGGTAGGAAGAGAGTCGCCATCAAATGCTTCGAGCGCAGTGGTGGAGGTGCCAGTGAGGTCACCACCGTTGGTGTTGGCAACGCAGGAGCGGCCGATGTAGGAGGAGCAGGTGGAGGAGGCGCTGTCGGAGGAGAAGAGGGCACCCTCGAAGGTGTCGGTCTCAAGGACGGTGTCCACATCCTCGAAGTAGTTACCCTCGGCAAGGACGTAGCCGCCGGAGCCGATCTCGAAGGCGTGGCCGGAGTTGTCCTTCCAGTAGTTGTTGTAGATGTGGAGGTAGGTGTTGTCCTGGACCTTGGGGGCACGGCCACTGGTCTTGTACAGGTAGTTGCCGGCGAAAGTGACCTTGTCGCTGGAGCCATCGAAATAAGCATTCCAGTATGTGTAGCCATCACAGGTTGCAGAGTAATCGGTTTCACCGTTGATGAAGTTGTTGGTGATGGAGACGCGTTCGTCGGCGGAGGTGCCGAGAACGTAGTGCTGACGACCAATGCGAGCAGTCTACCACAACAAGGTTAGATCGGAAAGTTAGATCGAGAGATAAGATCTAAGATAAGATAGACATACGGTAACGTGATCAATCCAGACAAGGTCCGCCTCGTCGAGGGTGATGGCATCACCACCCCAGACGTACTCGGCGTTGATATCCGTGATAGCAATGTTCTGGATGATGATGTTGGAGACACCGCTGACCAAGCGGAGACCCTTGCCCTTGATGACACCAGAGGTGCCCTCGCCAATCAGGGACTTGTTGGAGCCAACGGTGATACCAAGGACACCGGCGTTGTCGTAGGTAACCGAGACAGAGGGAGCATCGGGCTCGTAGTTGGTGCACCAGTCGTCCTGGTTGATAGCCACCTGGCAGCCTGAGGCCGTGCCCCAAGGAGCACATCCAGTAGTCGTGGTAGTTCCCTCGGTGCCGGTGAAGTCAAAAGTCTTGCTCAGAACAATGACACGCTCCTCATCATCACCGAGATATGAGACCAGCTCATCGGTGGTGGAGGGGTAGACGGGAGTGGCAGAACCACCGCCGGTAGCGGAGGCGGCGAAGCCGACGGGGGTGCCGGAAACGCCGACGGCAAGAGTTTGCTGGGCGAGAGCCGCAACGGCGGTGAGAACAGCAGCGTACTTCATCCTGGAAGTTGGTCTGGTGTGTAAAAAAGAATGACTGGATTGAACAAAAGAAAGCAAGGGATAGAGAGGAAAGAATGACAGAGAGTGTGTGAGTTGTGAGCCAGAAAGGAAAGGATGTGACTTGTGCTGGCGGTTGAGAGTTTTTATAGCTTCTGATGGTGCCCGGATCCATCCCCTTCTCTGTGTCTTCTCATGAGACCATGATGGATCTGTCTCGGGCACGCTTGGCAAGCCTCACGGAATCAACGGATGAAGCGGAGGAGCAAAGTGAGGTCCACGACGAGTGGGGAAGCTGATACTGGGAGGATTGTTCTGTGGGTGGGTCCGAGCGAGAAGACTCAGTAGTCAAGAGAGCAATAAACAATTTAGAGTAGTTGCTGAACACCTTAACATCGAGTCCAAGGTTGTGGGCCCAGAAGCCGGTAATGCCACTGTCGATCGGTGGGCGCTGGATTGCGATCGGCCGCGTACAGGCAGGAAGCCCTGAAACACACCCACCGACAACGGCCAGTCACCGTGTGCGACGGCTCGGAGGTACGGCCAAGAGAAGAAGTGGATCCGCCGGTGCTTAATGTCTGATTCTGATCCCGTTTCGCATTGATGGCGGCTGCCGTGCGGGTTTCAAAGCTCGAGCGCTATCGAACCGCGGACTGCTGGCGGGCACCCCAGCTTTTCCGTGGGAGGAGGCTGCATGACGTGGCCCGTCCAGGCTGCTAGACTAGACTCGGTCATCGAATTTGTGTGAGACGGAGACTGCCCGAGGAAGGTGATAGAGGAGATTCAATGCTTTCTTTGTGACGGACTTCGAGTTAGGGCATTCTGCTTGCCTAAGGCTTCCGTCGAACGACCCATCAACCACAAGTAATCAATCAACCATCACAACAAATGATGAAAGATTGCAGATGATGATCTTCCTTAAGGTTAAAATCTCTCTCAACGACTCTAAGCCTCATCCGGTAAAGTTCTTAGACGGGTGATGAAATTCCCCATTTTTTCAGTTCCTGGTTGAGATTAGCGGCAGGCACTGGGGCCACCCGCTCTCCACTGTGAATCGGTGGTTGGTTCTGCACAGTGGAGATTCTCCCTCCCCTAGCCGATCATCCCAACTTAAGTGTAGTCGCACATTTTCTCTCCGTGTGTATGGATGCAATGCATTAATATCAGAATCGCATTATTATTGTCGTTACTTGCGTCTCTCACATTATTCATGACTATGGCCTGGAGGAACTGTGTTGGGTGTTTAACTACCCATTCGCCTTGGAGTAGGGCTTGGCATCTCGAACAAGAACACAAATATGATCGCACCTTAACCTGAATGACTCTTCCTGATTAGTCCGGGTGAATTCTTTCTGCGTGTACGGTCGTAGTATGCCAGATCCCTGAGCACCACGAGCCCACTCTTGCCTTCTTGGCCTATGCTTAATTACAACAGCCCCATCTCTTATCCACCGCCACCACTCCAAAGTCCCAACAACCTCATCAATCAATATCCGGGAGATTGCGGAAAGACACCGGTTCCAGTCTGCAGCCCACCAAGAACGGCCGACAGATTAAGCTTCTTCTCTCGACCTTCTCCGGATGGAACTTCCGTCGACGACAGCCGAATCAATGCTGTGCATGTCTCACCATCGCCATCCGCTAGATTAAAGCACGTCATGCCTTCGTCTACCCGTGGATCGAACAATTAAAGAAAGGAGAACTTGTCTGCGCGGTTCTCGTATCGATTAAGAGCTCTTGCTTCTTGAAGGCAAACTCCCGCATTAGGCCATCAGAGTTAATATACGAGCCGAGACCGGCTTGCGTATGCTCACGGTACACCGCTTGTCGGGTTGGTGGGTTGTCGAATTGAATATGACTCCGTTCTTTGACATGCATGTCTTGCTGCTGAATCAGAGATTTATCATCAGGCCACATAGAGCTTTTGCAATCAGGGTCATATGACTCTTGCTGCAGGAGAGCATTTGAGTGAGTACGTGGTCGCTGGTCTGAGTTGCTGATTATCTTGAGTCCATATTCTGTCTTCAGCTGTAGAGCGGCCATTGGTTCTGGTCTATCTTTGAGCTAGCATGCAGCTGTCGACCTTGTGCATCGCGCTTTCGTCATTGTATGGGAGACCGGGCTTGGTATGAGGCTTGGAACATAGTCAGGGCTAATGACTCAGACATAAGAGCTTAGCGTGATCTTTCGATGTCAACCTCTCGCTCCATAGTCTCGATAGCAAGTCAGATAACTACAATTAAGCAGCTCTCTGCCAATTTGAGGATGTAGCATAGCAATGAGCTTTGAATTCACATTCTCTTACTGGCCCACGAGCACAAAAAGCCAGATAGATGTAAATGAGCAACATATATTTTCAGACGAAATCTTCGCGAGCATAACCTACCGGCTAATTTCATGGGTCAACGTGACAGTCCGATACCATGCAATCCTTGATCAGCTATGCAGAAGCCTCTGTCCTCCCCAACACAACATCCCGGATAGCATCAGCCACATAGTCCACATTCCCCTCAGTCAACCCACAAATGCTCACTCTTCCCGACGGCAAGAGATAGATATGATACTCCTCCTGCAACCCAGCCACCTGCTCTTGATCCAGCCCCGTGTAACTGAACATCCCAATCTGCTTCTCAACATGGGACCAGTCCCCGGGTGTCCCATTCAATTCCAACCTGCTCCGCAATGCGCTCCTCATCCTCGCAATGCGAGCACTCATCGTCCGCAGATCCTGCTCCCACTGCGCCCTCAAGTTCGAGTCTCCAAGCACCGTCTCAACAATCGTGGCCCCGAAGCGCGGCGGATTCGAGTACTCCGCCCGCGCCATGCCAACCAGCTGCGACCGCGCCCCCTCCACGCCCATTCCCCCGAGCACCACCAAATGTAACGCCCCGACCCGCTCTCCATACAGCCCGAAGTTCTTTGAGAACGACTGCGCTACACAGAGACCCGGATGCTGCCGCCCTTCCTCCTGCCCCGTGGCAAGCAGCTGCTCCGCGAAATACCGCACCGCCCACGCATCCCCATCAACATCCCCCGTCGCGAACCCCTGGTACGCACTGTCAAAGACCACAAACAGCCGCCTGCGGCGCACGACCTCCAGCAACGTCTGCCACTGGGCGCGGGTCAAATCCACGCCCGTCGGGTTATGCGCGCAGGCCTGCAGGATGATCACGTCGTTGGGCGCGGCGTGCTTGTCCAGCACGGCACACATCCCCTCCAGGTCGACCCCCCGGGTGGTCGGCGAGTAGTACGGGTAGTCGATCTGCGGCACCGAGGTCGTGGCCCAGATGGCCTTGTGGTTCACCCAGGTCGGGGCGGGGAT